CCGGTAAAGGGGAAGAAAATGGGGAGTCTATCTGATTTATATGACTCATCTCTTAACAAGCGCAGAAAGTATATTTTTGGAAGTAGAACTTGAGGCCACTTGAGATTAAGCGCCAAGGAATGAAAACTGGGGAGAGGGCCAGGGAAATCAGTCCAAGGGAAAGAGCCCAAACTTTATATACCTTTGGGGAAGGCCACTCTAGAACAATAGAAAACTTTTGGAAGATTGTTTGTGGTATCTGGCAGCTGACTGTTCAAGGAATCCAGTCTCCTTACAAATGCATCAGCCTAGGGCTGGAGCTATAGGTCAATGAGAAGGGCACCCAATATGGTCCCAAGAGGGGTTGGAGCAATAGCACAGCGGGTAGGGTATTTGCCTTGCATGCAGCTAACCCGAGTTCGATTCCCAGCATCCCATAGGGTCCCCCGAGCACTGCCAGGAGTAATTCCTGAGTGCAGAGCCAGGAGCAACCCCTGTGCATTGCCGGGTGTGACCCATAAAGCGAAAAATAAATAAAATAAAATAAAATAAAATGGTCCCAAGAGCCCAGCCAGAAGTGATCCTTGAGCACAGAGCCAAGAATCAGCCCTGAGAACCTCTGGGTGTGGACCCCCAACAACAAAAAAAGCAAACCAAAACCCAACAGCAACAAAATAGAGAGGTCTACGAAACGGGTTTGTGAGTTTTGTCAAAGGATTGGGGGCCATGATGGTTCCATTTCAAGCCAGGACAGACACCATGGAGACTGAGGTTTCCAGCGATACACAGTGGGCCCTGTCTATCTGGTTCCTGGGAAGCTCCCGTTTGTGCCCCCAGAATGTTAGGAGTGACCCCTAGCAGTACAAGGAGCTGCTAGGGATTTAAAGTGGTATCAATCTCATGCCAGGCAAGCACCTTAAACTACAGGTATAGCTTGTTTTGGGGTGAGTTTTGTTGTTGTTAGGGGGCCACACTCAATGGTACTCAGGGCTTTGCACTCAGGGCTTTGGCAGTGCTCAGAGGACTATACAGGAGGCATGCCAGGCAAACACCCTAGAAGGGTGTTACCTGTCATGCAACATGAAGTGAGAGCAATCAACTTTTATGGGGGGACGGAATGGAGATATGGGGTCTTTTTGTTACTACATGCAGGGTCTCCTGCCTGCACACCAGGCTGTCTTCACTTGGGCCTCTCAGAGGGGGACGGGTTGAGATTCCCTCCCCGCCCTGAGCAGAGCCCCGGCAGCCGAAAATTCTGGAACCCAGCCACAGCCATGCTCAAGGCCACTCTCCACATGCTAGGACGAGCCTCACGCACCTGGCAGAGGAACCCAGGTGCGGGGGTCCCGGGGCTGAGATCTCCAAGCCTGCTCAGATCAGGACTGGGCCTCTTCCCCCGGTATCCCTCATTTTCCAGTAGCTAGGTAGTTACACCCGCCAACTGCCCCTGGCGCCATGAAATCCCATACAGCAACAGCCAAGATCCAGAGACTATTAAACCAAGCTCCCAGAAGCACGCGGCCGCACACGCAGCCACGCAAACTCTTACAGTCCTAGTTCTCCTTCTTGGAGAACCCGGCAAGCTACCGAGAGTATCCCACCTGCATAGCAGAACCTGGCAGGCTCCCGTGACATATTCGATATGCCAAACACAGTTAACAATGATGGATCTCATTCCCTTGACCCCGAAAGAGCCTCCAATGCATTGTGAAGGACGAGTAAGGAGAGGCTGCTAAAATCTCAGGGCTAGGATGAATGCAGACATTACCGGTGCCCGCTCGAACAAATGGATGAATAATGGGATGACAGTGATACAGTGACAGTGATTGTTACTACATCATAACATAACCTTTCCTGACTAATACAGACCCAGAGTCCTGCATGTCAAAAAATGTTTTTTGGCCACATCTGACTGTGTTCAGGGCTTTCTCCTGGCTCTCTACGCAGGGATGACTCTTGGGGGGCTTAGAGGATTCAATCGGGTGCTGGGGAATCAAACCTGGGTCAGTCAAGTGGAAGTCAAGTGCCCTACCTGCTTCAGCCCCGGAGAATCAAATTTTCAAAGGTGAAATATAATGAGTTTCATTAATTTTTTTCAGTAGTATTCTCCACATCAAGAATGGGTGCCACATGGCAGACCCGGGTTCGATTCCCAGCATCCCGTATGATCCCCCTGAGCACCTCCAGGAGTAATTCCTGAGTGCATGAGCCAGGAGTCACCTCTGTCCATTGCCGGGTGTGACCCAAAAAGGCTAATAAAGAAATAAAAAAAAATGGGTGCCAGAAATCTAGTTTATCAATTGGAGTTAATCTACATATCCCAGAAGTTTTCCATTTTCCCACTAATTCTCTGGTGACTTCTTTTTTGTTTTGTTTGTTTTGTTTTTTGGAATGAAATATTTTTTTCTATCCCACATGAATCGGTTTTTTTTTAAAATTTTTATTAGTGAGACATCATGAGGCACAGTTAAGTGAGTGGGTTATATATATATATATATTTATATTTATATTTTGTTTTTGTGCCACATAAAAAAACCATTCCTGGTGGGTGTGGGATGCTGCGGATTGAACCTGGGTGTGTCGCATGCAAGGCAACTGCTTTTCCCATGTCTCTCCAGTCCCTGGGATTTAATATTATTTCAACACCTGTATTTTTCTGTTCTACTGATGGGCTGGAGTGATAGCATAGTGGATAGGATGCTTCCTTGCACGTGGCCAACCTGGGTTCGATTCCTCTGCCCCTCTCGGAGACTGCCAAGCTACCGAGAGTATCTCGCCTGCAGGGCAAAGCCTGGCAAGTTCCCCATGAGGTATTCGAGATGCCAAACACAATAACAAGTCTCACCATGGAGACGTTTTTTGGGCTCGAGCAAATTGATGAACAACAGGAGGACAGTGACAGTGACTCAAAGAGTGAGCGTCAGTGCGGGTTATGACTCAGGGCCACATGGATCCTCTCGGTGTGCAGAGCGGGGAGACGAAGCCACGTGGGGATGGCGTGATTCCTGGGACGCACCAAGGGACCGTGTGGTTGGTGTCACCTGCCTACCCCGAGGAGCCTGGCGTGGCCCCTTCCGTGGTCTGTACCTGGGAAGCTGCGTCCCACGAGGCAGGCCGGGAACTGTGACTCGGTGGGTCACTCCCTCAGGTGACAGGGGTTGCTCGAGGGACGGCGCCTGAGGCCCGTCTTTAGTGCCTCACGGGTGACCCCCCACAGGACCGCATCTGTGTGAGGGGGAGGCGCAAAGTCCGGCGACGGTGGAATCCTCTCAGCACGTGGTGACCCAAACGTCCCCTTGAAGAGACAAGCGTTTGGGGGCGTCTGGGGGGCGTTTCTGAGGTGCAGGTGGGTGAGGAGTTGGCCGCGTAGAGACTCCGTTGTCGCTCGTGGTCCTCGAGGATCTGCCGCCTCAGGGGCCCCTGACAGACCTGAGGGGCCCTGGGGGGCTTCGGGACCCCAAGGCCGTTTTTTCTCCTCAAGAACCAGCCCTATTAGGCCTGCAAAGGCTCGCACCGTCGTGCGGGGCAAGAGACCCAAGTTCTGGTGCCGGTCCAGCCAGTGCGGGCTGGAGAAGTCCCGGGGCTACACGGGCCCAGTCAGGAGCCTCAGGGGCAGGAGACCACGAGCTGGGCTGAGGCGGCGAAGGTGCCAGAGGGCGCCCGGGGGGGGGCTCTGATTGGTCCGGAAGGGGGGCGCCCTGGGACCTGATTGGCTCACACAGCCCTCGGGGGCGGGGCCTACGAGGCCCCACAGAACACTAGTTGCGGGAGTGAGACCCCGCGAGTTTGGGGCGTGGCTGTGGGTCGTATAGCCCAGCGGAGGGCTTCAGGATTGGCTGGAGAGCCAGAGGGGGCGGGGCAGAGGGCGCTCGGGGCGGGGCCAGGAGGCTGAGGAGGTCCGCCGAGGGCAACACAGTGGGGGCGGGACCGGAGCCTTCGGGAAGCGGAATTGGCTAGAGAAGACTGAGGGGGCGGGGCTAAGGGCGCTCGGGACGGGGCCAAGGGGCCGAGGAGGTCCGCGGAGGGTGATACAGCGGGGACGGGGCCTTCGGGGAGCGGGATTGGCTGGAAAAGACTTAGGGGACAAGGGCGTTAGGGGCGGGGCCAAGGGACCGAGGAGGCCCGCGGAGGGCGGCACAGCGGGGGCGGTTCGAGAGAGGGCGGGGCCGGGGCCTCCGGGGCGCGGGATTGGCTGGAACAGGCGCCGGGGGCGGGACGGAGGGCGCTCGGGGCGGGACCGAGGGGCCGAGGGGGCCCGCTGAGGGCAATACCGCGGAGGCGGGCTTGGCCCTAGGAGAGGGCGGGACCGGGGCCCTCGAGGAGCGGGATTGGCTGGAGAATGCTTAGGGGGCGGGGCTAAGGGCGCTTGGGGCGGGGCCAAGGGGCCGAGGAGGCCCCGCAGAGGGCGACACAGCGGGGGCGGTTCGAGAGAGGGCGGGGCCGGGTCCTCCGGGGCGCGGGATTGGCTGGAGAAGGCGCCGGGGGCGGGGCAGAGGGCGCTTGGAGCAGGGCGGGAGTCCCGGGAGGCGCTGGATTGGCTGGAACGGGCGCCGGGGGCGGGGCGGAGGGCGCTCGGGGCGGGGCTAAGGGGGCGAGGAGGCCCGTAGAGGGCGACACAGCGGGGGCGGGCTTGGCCCTAGGAGAGGGCGGGGCCGGGGCCTCCGGCAGGCGGGATTGGCTGGAGCGGGTGCCGGGGGCGGGGTGAAGGGCGCTCGGGGGCGGGACCAGGGCCTCCGGCAGGCGGGATTGGCTGGAGCGGGCGCCGGGGGCGGGGCAGAGGGCGCTCGGGGCGGGGCCCAGGGGCCGAGGAGGTCCCGCGGAGGGCGCCACAGCGGGGGCGGGCCTGTCCCGCGGAGGGGGCGGGGCCCGGCCCTCCGCGGGGCGCGGGATTGGTCGGCCGCGCGCGCCGCGGGGCGCGATTGGTGGGCGGCGGTTCCGGGGGCGGGGCCTCCTCCCTCCTCCGCCCCGCCCCGTCCCTCCCCGCAGGCCGCGCCGGCCGCGCCGGCTTCCCCCGCGGTCTCTCATGAATATTGAGCGGCCGCCGTCGTCCTTCCCGAGCTCCATTGCGGACGCCCGGGCTCGCCATATTGTGCGGCGGCGGCGGCGGCGCGGGCGGCCGGGCGGCGGCCGGCGGGGCCCGGAGCCGGTGAGCGGGGCGCGGGGCGCGGGGGCGCGGGCGCGGGCGGCGCCGCATTGTTCGGGCGCCCGGGGGGCCCGGCCGGGAGGCGGCTGAGGCGGCTGAGGGGGCGCGTGAGGCGGCGCGTGAGGCGGCTGAGGGGGCTGAGGCGGCTGAGGCGGCGCGTGAGGCGGCGGCCGGAGCCTCCTGGTCGCCCCCCCGTCGCCCCCCGCCGCCCCCCGCGCTGCTGCTCTTTTTCTCAGGAAACCGCGGCGGTCGCCTCCGGGGGGGCGACGGCGCCTCAGCGTCGCCCGAAGTTTGCGGCGGTCGCGGGGGGCTGTGGGGGAGGGGGGAGGTCCCGACCCTCCCCCCCTGCACCCCGGGTTGGGGGTGGCGGCGCCCGCCCGGAGTCCCGCGGAGGGTGGGGGAGGAGGGTGGGCGACCGCGGGCGACCGTCGCCTCAGGCCGGAGACTTGGGGGAGGGGCGGAGGAGGGGGTGGGGGACACCCCGGGGTGTGTCAGGAAGGCGCGCGCGGGAGGGTGGGGGTGTGGGGGGGGTCGCGGGAGGGTCGGGGGTCCCGACGCGCTGTCACCCGCCTCCCTCCGCCCCCCTGAGGAGATGCCGAGTTAGTCGCCTCCGAATTACTCGCCTCGCCTCAGAGCCTGTGGAGACCCCCGCGGGGTTGTTGGGTCCGAGCTGGAGAAAGGAGTCTGGTGGGAGCCAAGACGTGTGTGTGTGAGTGTGTGTGAGTGCATGTGTGTGTGAGTGCACGTGTGTGTGAATGCATGTATCTATTTGCGTACGTGTGTGAGTGCGTGCGTGTGAGTGCGTGTGTGTGAGTGCATGTGTGTGTGTGCGTGTGTGAGTGCATGTATCTATGTGCGTATGTGCGTACGTGTGTGAGTGCGTGCGTGAGTGTGCGAGTGCATGTATTTATGTGCGTGTGTGAGTGGGTGTGTGTGTGCATGTATCTATGTGCGTGCGTGTGTGAGTGCGTGTGTGAGTGCAAGTGTGTGTGTGTGTGAGTGCATGTATCTATGTGGGTACATGTGTGAGTGCGTGCGTGTGAGTGTGAGTGCATGTGTATGAGTGTGTGTGCGTATGTGTGTGCATGTATCTATGTGCGTGTGTGAGTGCATGTATCTATGCGTACGTGTGTGAGTGCATGCGTGTGTGAGTGGGTGTGTGAGTGCATGTATCTATGTGCGTACATGTGTGTGAGTGCATGCGTGTGAGTGTGTGCATGTGTCTGTGAGTACATGTGTGTGTTCCCTTTCCCCCTCCAGTGTCGCCCCCTCCCCCGCAAAAAAAAAATCATCTTGTCAGGCTCAACAGGTTTCTGAGGTAGAGGGGAGGGGCATGGGGCCGAGCCCTGGTTCTCTCCAACACCCCCCTCCCCCATCATCTCAGAGCATCAGTCACCAGGTGTGGTGGCGTTCCCCCCCCCACAAAAAAAATACCAAACCGATCTCAATTGTGCATTTTTTTAGATTATTATTACTTTTTTCTGAATGATTTTTTCCCATTTATAATTACAACTTAACAGCTTCTTTTATTATTATTATTATTATTATTATTATTATTTTGGGGTCACACCCAGGAATGCACAGGGCTGACTCCTGGCTTGCGCCCAGGATATCTCTCCTGGTGGTGCTTGGGGGACTCTATGGGATGCTGGGAATTGAACCCAGGTCGGCTGCATGCAAGGCAAACGCCCTCCCCCCTGTGCTATTGCTCGAGCCCTCCTTTCTTTTTTCTTTTTTTTTTTAAGGGAAAAAATGGTTGTGGGTATGAGATTTCATTGATTCCAAAAAAAAAGAGGTCTGGAGTGAATTCCTCAGGTCTGACTCCTGGAGAGGAATCCACATTGGAGGTCGGTCATCCTGGTGGGTGGGAGAAAAAAAAGGGGGGGGGGGAATGGATGGAGAAGGACCTGAAAAGACTCCTGGGGTCTGAGTCACTTGGAAAAAAAAACGCTTTTGGTCCTCAAAAGTTCCCTCTGGACCAAGTCTCACTTCCACCCACCCCGGCGATGCCAGTGCCGGCAATCAGAACGCCCTGGATTTCGACCCTGGCTCTGCGGGTGCCCTGCAGTGGGCGAGCTGGCTGGAGAAGGTTCCGGGCTCTCCTGGAGCAGCTTTCACCCGCCCTGTCTCTGCCCTGAGCCCAGGCGAGAGGGTTCTAGCGGAATAATGCACAGCCAGATGCTTCGCTGGCTTCGCACACGGGTCCCTCCAGAGAGAAAGGAATCACCCCAGGATGATGTGAAATCGCCGCAGTATTTCGACCGCGACTTCAGGCGCCTGATTTCTTCAAAGGCTCATTTGTGAAATCTGGAGAAACTAAGCTCTGCGCTTGTTGCAAGCCCCCACCCCCCCCCATCCCTGTGTCACTTGAGGGGGCACAAAGGCACTTTTTTTCCTGCCCTGAAGGGGTGCGTGCCCCGGGTGTTGCTTCCCGTCTCCGGGAGTCCTTGGAGGGAGCTCAGTTTGGTGGACCCTTCCCGATCTGGTCACCTCAGTCGTGGAATCGAACACTCGCCTTTGTGTAGACCCCGAGCGGAGAATGCAAGTGAGCCCCACCCCCGAGTTTTGTTTTGTTTTTTTTTTCTTTTTGGGTCACACCTGGCAATGCACAGGGGTTGCTCCTGGCTCTGCACTCAGGAGTTACTCCTGGCGGTGCTCAGGGGACCCTATGGGATGCTGGGAATCGAACCTGGGTCGACTGTGTGCAAGGCGAACGCTCTACCTGCTGTGCTATCGCTCCAGCCCCCACCCCCACCCCCGAATTTTACTAAGGGTCCAAGTGTTAACCAGTGTTCAGTCTCCTGGAGGAAGGACTCCAGACCTGGAAGCAAACTTCTTCACTTCTCAGGGGACAATGCAGTGGGCAAGCTTGACTAAAACTTCCAGAAAAATGCCTGAAAGTTGCCTTCTCCCACATTTTTTAGAGCATGAATTAATGCTACCCCCATTATGTGCCACTTGGTCCTCGTTAGGCAGTAGTCTCTCTTTCATTTATTTTTTGGTTTTGTGGGTCACGTCGGGTGATGCTCAGGGCTGACTCCTGGCTCTGCGCTCTGGAATCACTCCTGGCGGTGCTCGGGGGACCCTATGGGATGCCAGGGATCGAACCCCTGTCCGCTGCATGCAAGGCCCTCCTTGCTGTACTATTGCTCTGACCCCAGGAAGTTGTTTCTTTTTTTTTTTTTCTTTTTTGGCTTTTATTTTGGGTCACACCCGGCGATGCATAGGGGTTACTCCTGGCTCTGCACTCAGGAGTTACTCCTGGCGGCGGTGCTCAGGGGACCACATGGGATTCTGAGAATCGAACCCCGGTCGGCCGCGTGCAATGCAAACCCCCTACCCGCTGTGCTATCTCTCCAGTCCCAAGAAGTAGTTTCTTAAGTCGGATCAAGAACACTTGTCTTTTTGATTATTTTGGAAATTGAGTGGTCTCAGATTAACTTGTCTGTTGAGGGCATTGACTCTGCTGAAAAGAACCTTGTGAAAAAGAACCCGAGGTCGCTCGTCAATAGCCTGGTTGGGTCCCCGATTCCTGCCTGTCCTTCCCTTCCCTGGGCAGGGCAGTGGGGAGGCATGGAAGAGAGGTTGGCTGCTAAACGAGAGGAAGACCCCCACAGTGGGAGGGGTCAAACTGTCTTTACTGTCGAATCATTCTAGAGAATTCCCCGAGGAAGGGAGAACTTGGCGTTGGACTTTTAGCGTTGGACAGGATCTGGCCATATTTTTTCGCTCCTTGGAATAGAACTGGCATTTCGGGGGCCAGGTCGAATACCCCACAAACGTCTGCCTGCCCAGTCACAGTTCACGTGGTGTCAGGGGGACGGAGACAAACCACCAAGCAGCTGTGGGGTGAGCGGCTGGGCGGAGACAGTGAATGTCAGTGAAACATTTCCCATTTCCTCCCTTTGCTTTTCCCAGCCGCCGAGTTTAAAATCACCAAACGTTAAAGGCACTTCTAAAGACTCTGTGTCCTCAACGGGGGTCTCCGAGCTAGAGGAGTTCCCACTTGCTTTGCTTTGGGCCTTCGGTGAGTGAGCGCCGAGCAGGAAGGCTAGAGTTGCAGTGAGGGATGGTGTCTGGGATCCCCTGTGCCCCCTCCGAGTGTCGCGGAGATTCCACACGGGGCCTTGGTCAGATGCAGGCGGGCGCAGGAAGATCACCCGCAGCCCTTGGCTGGGAACTTGGAACGCTCTTCTGGACCTGGTTCTGCTTTGGGGGCCGGGGAGGGGGGCGCTGCAGGGCGAGTTGTGGGTGCTAAGGGCTGAAGCGGGGGTCTTGGCGGCTGCTGGGATCTGGAAGGGAATGCCCTGACCCGGTGCTTCCCAGCCAGTCCCTCCCCCCCCCCCCCCAGGACATTCTAAGGGGGGCATAGCACAGGACTGGGGAACATAGGAGAGGCGGCCAGGTGGGAGGGAGATGGAGAAGCACATTCTGCCCATCTGGGCTTCCAGTCTCAGCAGGGACTCAGCCTGGGGCCAGGAATCGGGTTGGAGTTCACTGACCCGTCTCTGGGCTGGAGCAGCCTATGGGCCCCTCTTGGCTGAGTCGCCGCTGCCCCCCCCCCCCCCCCCCCCCCCGCAACCAGCTTAAGGGAAGCTCTCCTTGGATCCCGTCTGGTTCCTGGATCTGCCCTGCCATGGTGGATCGTGCCCTCAGGGTTGTGGAGACTGACCCCTTTCTAGATTGTGCCCCAGGAAGACGGCCAGGAGACCCTTGTCTTTGTGCTAGCCAGTGGGAGTTACCATATTGAGTAAAGTGATTTCCCCCCCTTTTTTGAGGCCGTTTTGCAATAGTTCGGTTGAGGGTGATTTGATTTCCAGATGTGAGAATTGGAGGATAAAATAATGAGTTGATTTGCCCGGGCCAGGACCCAGAGAAGGTCGGACTACAGACTTCCCACGCACTCCCCTTCCAGAACTTGGAATGAAAGGGTTCCTTTGGATGGCTCCCCAAAACCCGTCTCCTCTTCGCCGCTAAAAATGTGGCAGCCTAGGGCTCCCGCAGCTGTTATTGGGGGAGGGAGGACAGGCCCCCCTTTCCTCTCAACAGCTCCCCGCGGCATCTCTTGAGGGTCTGACTTGTCTAGTCCCCTCTTTTCCCTCCACCCTGGCGTGGTCCCCATGGCCTCTGACTGCTCCAATCTGGCCGAGTTTTCTGCCAACCCCCCCCACCCCCGTGGGTCTTGCGAGAGATCTTAGCCTCCCTGCCAGTAATTGCATTGTGGCCTTGCTGCTGCCGCCCCTTGACCCGACCGAGACATCCAGCCAGGTCGGGCTCCCCTGGAGTCCGGCCAGATAGTTTCTAGAAGGCTCTCTTTCATACTTGGGCAAGAGAAGTGTCGTTGTATGTAACAGAAAGAACCTGGGGCAGGGAAGCTGATTTCTTGGTGTGTGATTCCACTTTGAGCAAGTCTCTGCACCTCTCTTTAAACAAACACAGCACAGCCCTTCCGGCCTGGGCCATTTTGAAGGACCCAAGTTGAGCCCTAGGTCAAAGGTTTCGTAGACAGGAGGCGCCACTGTGAATACAGGGCTAGGGGCTGGGGGACCGTTGGGGACATCGGTGGGAATGTGGTCGGGTGGCGGCGGGCAGGGGGTTGGTAGTGGTGGTGGTTGCTGCCCTTGGAGTTCGCGTATTTGAAAGAAAGTTTCTGAGTTGAGGCTGGGTGTGTGGGGGTGAGCCCCCTGCCCCTGTAATTGGCCTTGATGGTTACACAGGAACTCCCCCCTACGGGGCAGGACTTCGTGGGGGTGACCTGCAGCTCGGCAGTCTCAGCAGGAAACCAGACACCTTGTGTGACTCTTCATTGGAAATTGGCTTTTTTTTACATATAAATTATATTATAAATTTACCCTCTATATTTGTCACCAAAGAGCCCTACTCTTTGGCCCTCCGGCGTAAATGAGATGGAAATTGATGTCTGTGGTTGAGGGTTTTTTTTCCCCCTTTGGTTTTTGTCTTGATCCCACACCCTGCTGTGCTCAGGGATCACTCCTGGTGAGCTTGGGCGCACCTTTCGGGTTGCTTGGGATCGAGCCTGGGTCAGTCCTGTGCGAGGCGAGCACCTGACAGGCCTTGTTATCTCTGGTCCCCCACTATGATCGAGTCTTAATGCGCTTTTTCAGCTTGATCTGAACACTTACAGTAGTATTTGTTTGGGAAGAAACTTGCCTCCCTGAATGAGGAGGAAGGTGCTTTGGAAATAGCTTGTAGACACTTAGGGGTCAGTTGATTTGCCCTATTACCTGTCAGTGAGTGGGGAAAGGCGTGAAGGCCGCGGTGAAGCCTTGTCTGAAGTAGTTCAAGGACGTTCTTCTGTTCGTAGTGTCCTGTCGTGGTTACATTTGTGTTCTCACTTACTGTCGGGGTTGGCCCGTCTCATGAAGTGCCATGCCACCTCCCCCGACTCTGCGTGATGTTAGCATGGAAAGCAAATGTTGCAGCCCTGGATATTCCAGATGTGATAGTAATGCTGGTATTCACAGCCGCTTGACATCTTACTATCTCATTCTTACTTTTGGACAACCTGGCAGGCTACTGGATTTAACCTGCCCACATGGCAGAGTCTGGCAAACTCCCCATGGCGTACCCAGTATGCCAAATACCAGTAACAGTCACAGTCACACAAATCACAAATCATCCTGTTAATCGTCGATTGCCTCGAGCAGGCCCCAGTAACGTCTCCTTCATCCTAGCCCTGAGATTATATTCAAGGTTCTTTAGGAGAATGAGACCCATCACTGTTACTGGTATTTGGCATATTGGGGACGCCACGGGGAGTTTGCCAGACTCTGCCGTGTGGGCAGGCTACATTCGGTAGCCTGCCAGTTTGTCCAAAGTAGGAATGAGATAATAAGATGTCATAATAGGCCCAAATCCTCCACCCAGATCCTCCAAATTCCAGTAGGCGGGGGTCACACCCACCAACTGGCCCCCCTGGCGCCGTGTAATCCCACCTACGGCCAAGATTCGGAGACTAAAAACCAGCTCCCGGAAGAGAACAGTGCAGTCTCCTGCCCCCACCAGTAACAATGATGGGTCTCATTCTCCTAACCCTGAAAGGGCCTTGAATATGGCACATTTTAAAAAATCTCAGGGCTAGGACGAAGGAGACGTTACTGGGGCCTGCTCTGAGGATGATCGTGATCATGATAGTAACGCCAGTTGGGATTATTCTGAAGCCTTTTTTTTTTTCTCATTTTTGGGTCACACCTGGTAGTGCTCAGGGGTTACTCCTGGCTGCTCAGGGGACCCTGTGGGATGCTGGGAACTGAACTCGGATCGGCCTCATGCAAGACAAAGGCCCTCCCTGCTGTGCTATCGCTCCAGCCCCTATGCCGAAGACTTTTGTGTGAACTTGTGGGACCAATTAGCAGTGTTTCCCAAAGTGGGCCCTCCCACATCCCTTCCTGTGCCCCCCCCCCCCCAAAATCCCAGGGGCAATCAGCCTCCGGTGCACTTGTGGGGCGGTGTGGGGGTGTTGTTTTTCCCGTTAAAAGATTTATTTTTTTTCTTGTGAAGGGGGGAGGTGGACCAGATATGTTGAGGGACATCTGGGAGAACCAAGACAACAGATGACGCTGATGTTTCTAAGAAAGAAAACGCTACACAGTGAGGGGTTATTCATTTGGTTTGGGAGGGGCTAGCTGTGATGGAGGGGTTCCAGAGGACTCGGGGCACAGGCCAAGGGTGGAGCTCAGCAGTTGAACATTTGCTGTGCACGCGTGAGGTCCCGAGTTCGATTCCTGCTTCCGCCAGCCTTGGTCCTTCCTGCATGGATGGGATGGTGTAGGTGTAGGTTCAGTTCTCAGAAGTTACGAATAAGGAAAGAGAGGGCTGGAGAGAGAGCACAGCGGGGAGGGTGTATGCCTTGCACGCGGCTGACCCAGGTTCGATTCCCAGCATCCCTGATGGTCCCCTGAGCACCGCCAGGAGTAACCCCTGTGCATTGCAAAAAAAAAAAAAATGAGTTTCTCAGTATTAAATACTGGGATTTTGGTGGTCCTTTAATTTTTTTGAGAATTTTTTTAATTGTGGAAAATTCAGGGCATGGGGGGAAAATGGTGCACTCAGTTCTGAGTGTGCATACATGTTGATGTGTGTCCTTTTGGAGGTCGGGCCTTTTGGTTTTGTGTGGAACAGTTTGAACTGTGGTTTCTTTTGTTTGTTTTTTGGCTTTTTGGGTCACGCCTGGCAATGCTCAGGGATTCCTCCTGGCTCTGCACTCAGGAATCAGTCCTGGCGGTGCTTGGGGGGACCCTGTGGGATGCCGGGGATCGAACCTGGGTCGGCCGCATAACAGGCAAACACCCTCCCCGCTGTGCTGTCGCTCTGGTCCCCTTGAACTGTGTTTTATTGAGAGCCTAAAATGGATACATTTTTGAATCCCTAGAGTTTCCTGGGAGTTATGACCAATGTTGTGTCTTTTCCTTTTTTTTTTTTTTTTTTTTTTGCTTTTTGGGTCACACGCAGCGACGCACAGGGGTTACTCCTGGCTCTGCACTCAGGAGTGACCCCTGGCGGTGCTCAGGGGACCCTATGAGATGCTGGGAATCGAACCTGGGTCGGCTGTGTGCAAGGCAAATGCCCTCCCCGCTGTGCTGTCGCTCCAGCCCCTGTTGTGTCTTTTCCTATCATAGGAAGTTTCTGGTGTGTGTACCATTCTGTAAATAACCAATTCCCTTGAGTTGGAGCCCCAGGATCCTTCCAGTTGTATATTTTATTGAGCTGGGGTTGGGGTGGGGGGTGGTCAGCATTATAGCAGTGGGTGGAAGTCATGGAAACGATCAGTTAGGCACCGAGGTCCCGGAATGTTTCTTGACGAGCGGGACCCCAGGGCTTTGGGCCTCGGGGTGTTGAGGTTTGGACGCCTACCCTTCCTTGCAGGCGTTGAGGCACTGTGAGGGCCTTTTTGCTCTTCTCCTCCTTGGGAGTTAAGTTCCTGCTCCCCACAGTCGGGGTTGGAAGCCGACTTCCTCTTCCACCGCTATCAGCTGGGCAACACACGCGTCTTCCCCTTTGCCTTCCCAGCCATGTCTCAGGCCGTGCAGACGAACGGAACACAGCCATTGAGCAAGACCTGGGAGCTGAGCCTGTACGAGCTCCAGCGGACGCCGCAGGTGAGCCCAAGAGGGGCCTGGCCCGCAGGGACCCTCTCGCGCTGCTGTGGGATGCGCACCCCGCAGCCGGGAAGGGGGAGTGAGGGGAGCACCCCTGGGGCTGGGCCTAGATTGGCTTCTCCGAAAAATGTTGTCCAGTGGATAGACAGAGCAGTGGGTCGGGCGTTTGCCTTGGACGCTTCCGACCCGGTTCAGCCCCTAGCATCCCACGTGGTTCCCCGAAGCTGCCAGGCGTGATCCCTGCGTGCAGAGCCAGGAGCCAGCTCTGAGCACTGCCACTGGGTATGAGATGCCGGGGATTGAACCTGGGTCGGCTGTGTGCAAGGCCAGTGCCCTCTCCACTGGACTATTGCTCTGACCCCCACCCATCTATCCGTTTCTGGAAAAGCGGGGCTTGTGATTGTGATTGTTCTTCCTGGGACTTGGGGGTCTCTCCTGGGGGTGGTCGGGGGCTGCTTCCTTCCCTGCTCGGGCGCATCCCGGCCGAGCCGGGGCCTCTGGCACGCGGCCCCAGCGCCCCCGCAGGCTGACGGGGGGGTCTCTTCCAGGAGGCGATCACGGACGGCCTGGAGATCGTGGTGTCGCCACGCAGCCTGCACAGTGAGCTCATGTGCCCCATCTGCCTGGACATGCTGAAGAACACGATGACCACCAAGGAGTGTCTGCACCGCTTCTGCGCCGACTGCATCATCACAGCCCTGCGCAGCGGGTGGGCACCGCTCCCGGTGGGCAGGAGGGGGGCTTGGCAGTGAAATCCCTCTGTAGCGTGTGAGTACCTGGCCCGTGAACCCCTTGCACAGAGGGTGCGTGGAGCGGGGGTGGCGGTGCCAGAGACACCCCCTCTGTGATGGGAAGAACCTGGCGACATGACTGTCTGCGCTGCCAGTGCTGGCCGAGTTCCGAGAAAGACGTTTTCCAAAGAGTCGAGCTCTGAGATGCGTCTGAGTGTGGCTTTTCATTATTGGTCAGTCTGTGTTTTAAAACGATTGACTTGGGGCCAGAGGGATAGGACAGCAGGAAGGGCGTTTGCCTTGCTGACCCGGGTTTTGTCTCCAGCATCTTGAGTCTACCAGGAGTGATCTCTGTGCATACCCCGAACGCCATTGGGTATAACCCCCCCCAAAAAAAAACCCGATTTAGTCAATTTGTTTATCCTTGTAAGATGATTGTTCAGCTGCTTAAGTATATAAAATAATTTCCTCGGGACAGAGAGGTAGCACAGGGTTGAGACATTTGCTCCAGACGTGGAGGGCCTGGGTTCATTCCCTGGCAGTACATAGGGTGGGTTTTCCCAAGCCCCCCTCAGGAGTGATCCCTGAGCACTGTCGGGTATGGCCTCCCAAATCCCCCAAGCTATCAAGATAACAAGCACAAATATCCTGTAATATCCCTGTGAAAGGGACTTTAGTAAAAAGCGTCCACATCATCACTGAATCGTTTATGGTTCATTTTTCTTTGTTTGGCATCGATATTCTAACCGGAAACATGGTGATTTGGCAAGACTAGGTGGTTCTTAGATGGTTCTCTCTGAAGTGTCACTGCGGGGAGGGACCCGGGCTTAAGGCCCTGGCTTTATCATGTGGCCCAGCCCAGGGTGCTCCAAACACCACATAGAGTTTCCCAGTATTGCCGGGGATTCCTGAGCACAGAGACACGAGGAGGCTCTGAGCACTGCTGGGTGTGCCACAGATGACCCTCCCCCGCCCCCCAACTAGGGAAAGTAAAACATCCTTGGAGGAGTTTTTGTGTATTTGTGTAGTGGGAAGTAGTAGAGGGCGTTGGCTTTCAGACTCACCACACGGGGGGCTGGAGGGCACTGATTGAACGGGGCGAGGCTTGATTGTGAGGAGGCTCTGGATTGATCCCCAGCATCACCCACCCCGAGTAGCCTCTCGGGGTGCTGCCAGGTGTGGCTTCGAGGAAGAACGGGAAAGCAGCGCTGTGGGGCTCAAGGGGTTCCGAGATTTGGCCCAAGGAAACGTGCGTCGCGTGTAAAGGTCCTGGGGTCTGGCTCGTGCGGGGGCCTGACCCTTTCCATTTTCCCTCTCTGCCCTCAGTAATAAAGAATGCCCGACGTGTCGCAAGAAGCTCGTTTCCAAACGGTCCCTCCGGCCCGACCCCAACTTCGACGCACTCATCAGCAAGATCTACCCGAGCCGGGACGAGTACGAGGCACACCAGGAGCGGGTGCTGGCCCGCATCAGCAAGCACAACAACCAGCAGGCACTGAGCCACAGCATCGAGGAGGGGCTGAAGATCCAGGCCATGAACCGGTGTGTGTGGGCGTGTGCGGGGCCCGGCCCCTCCCCCCCCCCCCCCCCCCCCCCCCCCCGCTCTGCTCCGGAAGTGTCAGGTCTGCGCACAGCCATCACGTCGACCCCCTTGCGTGTTGAGGCTCCCCTAGTTTGGTTTTCATGCCCCGTTCAGTGTCCCTACAGGACACCCTGCTGCCACCAGGTGGCCCTTTCCAAAGTGGACAGTGAACCCCCAGCTCCTGGGCGCTCCTGGTTCCTGAGCTCTGTGGGGCCGGACCTGGGACTCTCACCCAGGTCCCGCGGTGGCCCCTGCATTGCCCCCCTTGCTGTGCCTGGAACCTCGGAGTCCCCCCTTGCCCTCTCTGTAGTCTGAGGAATCTCCCAGGCCCATCTCTCTGACTGTCATCGAAACCACCGCCCACCTGCTTGGGTTTGCCTGGCTCCATCTCCCGGCTGTGCGGCCGGGCTCTGTTCTGGGGATCCCGTCCTGGCTCTCCTTGACTCCCCGGAAGTTAAACAGGCCACTGCATAGCTTCCCCTGCAAGCCCTGTGGGTCGCGGTCTCGGATACCAAAGCCGTTAACGCAGGCCCCCCCCCCCCAACCGCCCCCAGAGCCAGGTGATCAGGTTTCAGGTTTGCATTTCAAGTGGCCACCAGGCTCAGTCCCCGGCACCATGTCATGGTCCCCTGAGCGCAGCCCAGTGTGGTCCAGAGACCCAGAGGGAAGCCCAGTGCCCATCTGGAGGAGAGGGGGAGGGTTTCAAGACCGCGCACCCCAACTCTGGCTGGGCTCAGCCCCGCTCCCCTGAGCAACCCCGAGGATGTGTGCAGGTGTGTGTGGGGGGATGGGCCTCCAGCCCAAGGCTGCTTGAGCTCTTCCCCCACACGCCACCCTCTGCACCTGAGATGCACCCCATGGGCGAGCACACCAGACGCTCCTTGGGGTTCCCACTGAGGACACACACACACACACACACACACACACACACACACACACACACACACACACGATGAAGCCCTTAAGGGAAGCCCCCAGTGTTCTCACCAGCTCGGCTGGGTTCCCATGCCCAGGTCGTTCATTCTCACCTAAACTGCGCCCCTGCGGGCCTGTCCCCAGGTTGCAGCGTGGGAAGAAGCAGCAGATCGAGAATGGCAGTGGCGCCGAGGACAACGGGGACAGCTCACACTGCAGCAACGCGTCCACGCACAGCAACCAGGAGGCGGGGCCCAGCACCAAGCGCACCAAGACGTCCGACGACTCGGGCCTGGAGCTGGACGCCGGCAACGCCGCCGTGGCCATGGACCCGGTCCTGGATGGTGCCAGTGAGATCGAGCTGGTGTTCAGGCCGCACCCCACGCTGATGGAGAAGGACGACAGCGCGCAGACCAGGTGGGGTGCCGGGTGGTCCCCAGGGGGTGCCCTGTGTCCTGTGCACTGCTGAGCACATCTGCCCCCAGGATGCGGGATGGGGCGGTTTTTTTTATTTATTATTTATTTATTTTTGCTTTTTGGGTCCTACCCGGCGATGCCCAGGGCTGACTCCTGGCTCTGCACTCAGGAATCACTCCTGGTGGTGCTCAGGGGACCCTAGGGGATGTTGGGAATCGAACCCGTGTCTGCTGTGTGCCAGGCAAACGCCCTGCCCACTGTGCTATCGCTCCAGCCCCATTGTTTGTTTTTGGTTTGGGGGCCATGCCTGGTCGTGTTCTGGGCTCGTTCCTGGTGGGATCCTGGTAATCTTAGTGTGTGGTGTTGGGGATGGAACTGTGTCGTTTGAATTCCTTCAGTGACACCGGGGTGCTAGTCAGTGCCACAGTTCACACTGGCCTGGATATGGCCTTGACTCTAGCTGCCCCAGTGAACCCAAGAAGCACCGAGACTTGGGGTGTGAGCGAGCAGATGGGGTGCCGTCCTTTCCAAAGGATCACCCCACCCCGGGCTCTTCCGCCTTCTTTTGGGGGTTTGGTTGGCTTGGTTTGGGGCCACACCCACAGTGCTCAGGACAGAGTCCTGGCACCGTGTTCCAGGATCCATCCCAGGCTGCCTGCTGGCTTGCACCTCGCACCCCTGCGGTCTGGTCTCTCCTCCCCCCAAGCTTCCCCTTCCCGGTGGCGTGTCCCACCCCGCGTTCAGGCAGGCAGAGCTCTGGTAGCTCCCGTCTGCCCTCCGCCTCTGGCACTGTGTCAGCCAGAGATGTGCCCCTTTTGCCAACGAGTGTTCCGGGAGGGGCTGGGTTCGCCTGCGGGCACCGTGGCTCAGTCACCGAGACATGTACTCTCTCCCGCGTGCCTCTTGGCCAGGTACATAAAGACGTCGGGGAACGCCACCGTTGATCACTTGTCCAAGTACCTGGCCGTGAGGTTGGCCTTGGAAGAGCTTCGGAGCAAAGGGGAATCGAACCAAATGAACCTCGACACGGCCAGTGAGAAGCAGTACACGATTTACATCGCCACGGCCAGTGGCCAGTTCACCGTAAGTCTTGGAGCCCTGGACAGACCCACTGAGACCCAAAGGGGCCGGGGTTTGAGGGGACTGGGAGGCAGGGCCCAGAGAGCAAGCCGTTAACGTTCTCATACCCTTGGCGGTTCCCACTGTGGAGCGACACGGTCCACCCTGAGGTTCTTTTTCTTCCCCTCTAAAAGCGTCAGTCTTTGTTTGTTTGTTTGTTTGTTCCATTTCTCTGAGCACTTTTGACAGCTCCTTGTGTTTCCGTTGTAGGTCCTAAATGGCTCTTTTTCTCTGGAGCTGGTCAGTGAGAAATACTGGAAAGTGAACAAGCCCATGGAACTTTACTATGCACCTACCAAGGAACACAAGTGAGCTTTGACTGCAGCCGCGCCTGCGGACGAACTTTTTTATAGCGCATTTCTTTCCTATTAAAGCTGTTGCTGTCGTGACTTCTACGGACAGAACCTTTGCTACGTCGTCCGGTTTCCTTTCTGAGCCAGACTTGTTTACACTCTTCGACTCTCCCCCCCTTAATTTAATATTTTCCTTTCGGGAAGGGACCGCAGTGAGCTTGATGCGTTTTCTTTCCTTTAACAAACAAGATCTCAGTTGTGTTTTCACAAAGTATGGTTCCGCTTGGGAGCGCCCTTCGACCCAGGAGTTTTGCCAGAGTTCTGTTCTCTGAAGTAAAAATTCAGTTGGCCACCCTTTCCCTCCCTTGAAAAGTTTTTTAGGCCTCCAGAATGTTAATAATGTGTATTTGGACTTTTTTTCCTGGAGTCTTTCTTGTATATTTATAGTTTTCTATATACGCTGTTGTATCTTTATGAAGACCAAGGCTCAAATTACCGTGCTTGACAAACAATTCTCATAGGATTATTATTTTCATGGTATTTTCTTCCATAATATCTCATTTTTAAGAAAAGTTCTTTATGAACTTGGTGTCCATTGTCATGCAATGTTGTTGTTATTATTTTTTTCCATTCTTTCCCCTCTACTTTTGGTGTGCACGATCTTGGGAAACAGTATCTCGAGTTCTAGAAGAACTTGGTTCACTTACAGACTTCACTAAAGAAAGATTCAGATGGTCTTAATAGTCTTCAAGTATATATTTAAAGAGGTGTTTTTTTTTAAATTTTTTTTTGGTATTAGTTCTACCTGTCCACTTGAGTTTCTTTATGATGTGTATTGGATAGTTTTTTTTTCCCCTGTTAAAATACCACAAGATGGAGATATTTTGCACTTTAGCCTTGAATGAAAAGTACAAGATATGTTCAGAACTTCCTAAATTCTTTTCTTCCTCGTCACCGTGGCAGTTCACGACTCCCGTGGCACGTGGCAGCATTGAAGAGTGTGTGGAGCATGAGGGGCCCGTCGCTGTCCTCCCAGCCACGACCCTTGCACAGTGACATCTGTGTCCGTGTCCGACACTCCTGGACCTGTCCTTCGCCATGTCGTTGACTGTCAGCGGACATTGTCGGGTGTTGGGGTCCAGACTCTCTGCACCCAGGCCCCGAATTGGGCCGACGCGTGTGTACTTTTTTCCGCCCTGCCCCGTGTGCAGCTACGTTTCCAAGTTGCCATCTCAGTATTTCCGAGATGGGCCTGCCTTGAGCAACAGCCCCTGCACGGGATTGGGCCCGGAGGGATTCACCCTCTAGGCTACCTTCTCCCGCAGGCCTGTCCAATTATTGTGACTATTTCTCTGTCATTTTTTGACAGATCGGGGCGGCTTGGTATTTTCACTCTTCAGCCCAATTTGCAAACAAAGGCTTTTACTTGGATTTTTTTACCATTTTTCTTGAAAAGGTTGATGAATCGGTTTTTACACTTCCTTTGGGTAACCCGTGCCATGATATTTGAAAACCACCAAAAATCAAGGAACTTTTTGTACGGAATTGCTTTTTCTGGTGTGATGTTGGGGTGTGTAGATTACTAATGCATGTCCACTTGACTATAACCCTGGTTTTGTGCTAGAACTGCTTAGATTTTATTGGTGATGTTAGTTTAGGAGTTGCATTCAGTAACCAAATTTCCCATTGTGATGACCAATTGAGATTTTTGTCTTTAAGCAAGAAGTTCTTTGTGCATATAAGCTTTGTGCTTAGAGAGTATCTGTGTTCTCATCTGTCAGTATGGGAAGTTGTAAGTAAACTCCTTGCATCCTTGCCGGATTCATTGGCTGTGTAACCCCCTTTGCAAAATACAGTTGTAGGCATTGGCTGGAGGACTGAGAGCACTGTTTGCGAGTGAGTGTGTGTGTTCTGGTGGGTGGATTCCATTCGCCATCACGACCAAACCACGGTCTCTTCGAGTATGACGTAGGTGACGTCTGTGACTGCCTTGTCTGCTGCAAATCCTCACCAAGCGTCCACAGCGCCTTGGGGTGCGTTCAGTTCAAATTGATTCTGATCAAGTGTAAACCGTCCTGTGTCCGCCCCCCGTCTGTGTAGGCGCGTGTCTGCACTCTCTGAATCGCGTTTTTTTTTTTTTACACCTAGAAGTAGAATTACATGTAATAATCGTCCTGTGTGTCTGCCTTACCTCACCCGGTGTCATGTCAGAGAGCTTCATCCGTGTTAAGAGTGTCAGAATCTCCTTCCTGTGAACAGCTGGGGGTCTGTACCGCATTCTTCTCGCCCATACGTGTTCTGATGGACATTTTTTTTTACGGTTATGAATAATGCCCTTGTAAATATTTGTACACCTGTGTCTGAGTTCTTACTTTAGATACTTCTGGGTATCTGCCTAGGGCGAAATTACTGGATGTCCCACGATAAATCTGTTGTTAATTCTTTTGTGTGGTTTTTTGTTTGTTCGGGGCCGCGCTCCGGCCCTGCTGGTTCTGCACTCAGGGACCACTCCTGGTGGGGCACAGGGTGCTGGGGGTTGAACCTGGTTCAGAGGTGTGTAAGGCAAGGGCTCCACCCCGTCGACTATCTCCAGAGCCCTGTTGTTAATGTTTTGAGGACCACTGAACTGTTTCTCGCAGTGGTCACGTCATATTTCATCGGTAATTATGGAGATTCCAACATCTCCACATCCTCACGTATTTTGGTGGGGGGGAGGGGCAGGGATTGTAGTCCACACCTGGCTGTTGCTCAGGGCTGACTCCTGGCTCTGGGCCCAGGGATCCACTCCTGGTGGCGTTTGGGGGGGATCATATGGGTATCGAACCCAGGCTGGCGGCATGTAAGGCAAGTGCCCTCCCCGCTGTGCTGTCACTCGCCCTGGATTGTTTGTGTTGAGTTTTAGGGATTCTTTTTTTCTGGGTAGGAATCGGTTCTCAGATTTACACTGTGCCGATATTTCCTCCCGTGTGTCGGACTGCCCTTCACTCTTCCTGATGGTGTTGAGGACAGACGCTCATTGCAACCAAAGTCCGGGTTGCCTGTCCGCCCTGGGGGTGCTGGCGTCCACTGCCGGGGAGATCGTCTCTCTCCTAAGGTCGTTTTATTTATTTTTGTTTTTTTTGGGTCACTCCTGGCTCTGCACTCAGGAATCACCCCTGGCGGTGCGTGGGGGACCCTATGGGATGCTGGGAATCGAACCCAGATCAGCCGCGTGCAAGGCAAACGCCCTACCCACTGTGCTATTGCTCCAGCCCCTCCTAAGGTCGTTTTAGAGCTTTTAGGTCGTTTTAGAGTTTTAGTGACTCTTGGGGCTGTTGGGGACCAAATGTGCTTCATGGATTCAGCCCATCCATCCACTCTGAGTTTTGTCTCTGGAGAAAGGTAAGGCCCTCAGCCTCTAGGCACCGCCATTTGAAGGCGGCGCAGACACCCCGCCCTGCCAAGTATTAGCAGCCACATTTCTAAATTGCTGACCCCAGGGGCCCAAGAGATTGTGCAGGGACTAAGGCACACAGCCGACTGGGGTTCGATCCCCAGTACCCCATATGGTTCAGCACTGCCAGGTATAGCACTGTGCAAAACCAGGTGAATGTACATCAGGATGCCACTTCTAGCACCTTCATTGCTCCAGGGACGTGGAGCGGGCGGTACTCTCCGAGCACACACAGGCGTGGACACAGGGCAGGGCTGGTGTGAGGGGGGTTTTTGGGGGGTAGTGTGCTGGGTAGTTTGGGGCCACAGCCGGTGGTGCTTAGGGGCTCTTCCTGGCTCTGCTCAGGAGTGGCAAGAATTGGGGTGTTGGGGACCAAATGTGCTGCTGGAGATCCGAACTGGGGTCAGCAGGGTGCACTGGCAAGTTGAAGTTATTCATGCTTGAATTTTCAAGGGGTGCAGCCAGCCACTTCCTTATACGTCATCCAAAACAGGGGTCACTCCTGAGCGGGGGGGGGTGTCAGGGAATAGCCCTGAGCAGTCCGAGCCTCCCACCCAAATGAAGTGACTTGGCTGAGAAATTGCGGCCAAGCAGACTTGGGCCGGGAGCTGAGCACGTTTTGCGTGGGCACTGATGATGAGTCGGGAGTCCAGCTTCGCAGGGCCTCAGGGTGTGGCAAACCATTTAGGGGGGATCTGTTCTCCCCAGGCTCTTGGCCTGAAGTTGACCGACTCATTCTGCATCTGGCTTTGTTCTTGGCCCTCATTTCTCCCCCAAAGCTCCACTCCTGCTTGAGCTGCGAAGCTGCGGTGGTGGCGCATCCCGCCCACAAGTGACTCTAAGGCCAGTGAGCACAGGGAAATGTGGTCATGGTTCCTTGTTGGCGGGACATGACCCCCTGCCTCCCTCTGCGGGTCTAAGGAAGACTCCCCAGAGATGGGCAGTGAGCGCAGGAAACTGTGATGGTGGTTCCTTATTGGTGGGATGTGCAGATCAATAATGGGGTTTCACACCACACTGGTGAACGTGGCATTCTGCCAGGAGGCTGCCAACCTTCGTTCACCACCGATGGGGATGGAATCTGCTGCTGCTTGTGGCACCTGCTAGGAAAAGTCCCGACAGATCACGTAACTCCCCAAACGCGAAAGCGTCGTTTCACGAATCTGCGCGTCTGCATCTGGTCCCAGTGGCCTCAGAATCACCGGAGGATCTCACCAGATTGATGGACAAAGGAGACAAGCAGGAGACAGACGATATGGAGCCATGGCCTCAGGTCGCAAAACTGATTCATAGGGGATGAAGGTGTGACTCAGGTCGGGACTGTCGGTGAGAGGGGCACATCTCAACACTGTTGTACCCAGGTTACCTCAAGTAGAGGGAACTCCCACCCCCGAATGTCCAAGAGCATGAAGGTGTGCATCGGGGTAGCACTGCGATCCCCAGGGGGTTAAAGGTCTGACTCGAGAACAAGAGGGTCCTAGCAGAGGGAGACGAAGGTGGGGTGACGGGGTGCTGGGTGAGGCTCCGCTGCCTGGGAGTCAGGGGAGACGATGGTAAGGGCTGGTGAACAGCAGCAGTGGGGTAAGAATCCTGACCTGACACAGAACCTGGAACTCTCTAGGGCCACAGCCAGGTCCCTGCATTTCCCCTGGGGGGAGACCAGGATTGGGTCTGACCGGAAGCATGGTTAGCACCTACAAAACCAGCTCTCAGGGTGGGTCCCTGAGGGGTGCCCAAGTTTCAGGTGACAGTTGGGCCTGTGCTTGGCGAGGAGTCTGAAGCCTCAGCTGGGAGACAGGCAGACCTGGGAGAGTTGGGCCAACCAATGCAGGACCTGTTCCCTCCTGACACAGGACAGGGACACCTCACAAAGGCCCGAGAAACCCCCCCCCCCCCCCAGTGGACAGCCAGCAACTCAAATGCCCACAAGTCCTGAGCTGAAAGTGGGGGTAGCCTCGGCAGGGAGCCCTTGACGCCATGTTTTGGGGAGAAATGTCCAGATGCCATTGCCATGTCAGGGTGACTGGCCCCGGACCAAGATGCCCGAGCAGGTGGCACTGCCAGCCCATCTTGGGGGAACTACCTGGTGTTGATCAGTTCTCGTTTCTGGGAGCCAGTTTCTCTGTGCGTTCCTGCAGTGTGTTCTGGGCAGTCGGGGGACCCTTAGAAGGGCTGACCCCCTCTAGCGGGCACCCCGCGTAGTTTACCAACTGTAAAGAATTTTCTTGCATCTGCGAAACTTGGAGAGATGCAGCTGGTCTGTTTTTGGTTTTGGGGGGGCCACACCTGGTGCATTCATTGCCGGGGACTGGCTGCCTGCAAGGATTGAATTCTCAAGACAGAGATCTAATCTTTATGCCAACATTTTTTTCTCCAAAATTTTATATTTTAAATGAAGCAAGAACAATAATCATGGGAACAAGCCTTTTTCTGATTCGTTTTTCATAGTCACGTTGGCTTAGGTAATCACACACACACACACACACACACACACACACACACACACACACACACACACACACGTCAGCACATTACAGCAGAACGACGCTCACTTCCTAAGGGGTCAAGGTTTGTGTCAGAGGTAGCACAACCAAGTGTGGGGGGCCCATGCACCAACCATGTCACACGAGATCACCCCATCGGCCCACTGCACAAGATCACTCCACCACGCCCGTGCCTGCTACAAGCACTTAACAGGGAGATGGTCTCTGCTCACCTGGACAAAACCCCGGATACTCTCAAAAGGTTCGTCTGGACCCTCCCCACACATTAGAAAGCGTATATAAGTCAGGCAAGGATTTCTCGGCCACGAGGAAAAGGTGTGTGTGGGACCCTCGCTGTGTGGTTCCTTAGCAGCTGGTTACTGATTTGGTGGCGTTTCTTGGTCATTCAGGATCCTGGGAGTACGTGTTAGGCACTGGCGCCCTTTAAACTGATGGGACAGCAACCGTCTGGGAGGAGCTGTGATGGGGTGAGGGGTTGGTGGTGAGAGGAGGGACCCTTAGCTGGCGGAGGCACTGGAACGATGCCCAAATGGAATCAGTGTGAGCCGCAGAGGTCACGGTGCCTCAGCACGATACAGGATTCCAAACCACAACACCACGTGATCAAATGCATCAAGGACAATTCTAAGCCCTGTGCAGGGAAAACGGACTTTCTCAGCCGCTGAGAGACCTCGGCATAAACTACTCACGTCACAGGAAGTGTTCCAATCAACTTTCATGTTTTCTTTAAAAAAAAAAAAGATGGAAAAGCACGGCCTCCCCACCGGCTGTATTCGAAACGATTCCTTTCTGCAGACCAGCCCCGAATATTTTCCCGCCACTGAAGGCCGCCTTGTCCCTCAGGACGTTTCGGCCCTGTCAGCGGCTGTGTCTTCGGCTGCTGACCGGATGGGTCCCTCCACCTGCCCCCCGGTATAGGTAGGGGTGCTGTGCTTGAGGAGGATGGACTTGAACTGCATCAGGGGTGCGTCGGTACGGACGCCCATTGGGTCGAAGTGTGTCCGGCTCACGCGGAAGCCAGCCTCGGCAAGGTAGCACAGGAACTTCTTCAGCCTGCAGCAAAAGAGACCGATGGATGGGGTGGGTGGGGCCGGCCGGCCAGCAGAGGGCCTGGAGCGCCCCCTGGGGTCTGCCCTGCGCCCGGCCTTACTTGGGCATGTTCATGCCTTTGATGCTGTGTCTGTGGATGTTGTAGTAGAAGGGCGGGTGCTCGGCACTCCCGTCGCTCTTCTGCCTCTTGGCCGCGTTAGTGATGGGCTCACTGCTTCTTCTCTTTCCTGGAATACACAGCGAGGATGATCTTCCGGTCCTTTACTGTTGGTTTTGGGGGCCACATCTGGCAGTGCTCCCTCCTGGCGGGGCTCAGGGGACCCTCTGTGGTGAAAGGGAGTGGAACCCAGATCGGCCCCGGGATAGCTAAGTGCCCTCCCTCCCCGTAGCTGGACTACGGCTCTGGCCCTTGACGAGCAATTGTGAGAAAACTAAGACCAAAATTTCCACTCATAACTTGATGAGATCTCGATCCGCATGGTTCCTCACGACTTCAGAGATCTTTCGCGAGGGAAATCAACATAAATCAAGTGGAATCTTCACTCTGATGTTGACTGCATTCGTCTGACAGAATTATTCTGTCAGTATACGATGGTCAATAAAAGTGCCCTCTGAAGTGGCAACCAAAGGAAATTCCTCCCCTCTGACAGGTCAGGTCAGCTACCTGCCTCTTTGCTTTGATAAGTTCTATACGCACGCGACACACACACACACATACACACGAACACGTACCTTGAGCAACGTAATTATCCGCTGCGGCATCGTCTGTAGTTTTAATAAATACACCGTATTCTTCTAAAATAAAGACAAATGGGAAGACCAGAACATTTTACAGAGTGACATCAAGGAAGAGTTCAGTCAAATAAACATTTCCTCTTTCATTTTGGGGCCACACCGGGCTGTGCCCCAAAGGGTTCTCTCCTGGCAGCTGCATACAAGGCAAACACCTTGGTCCTGAACTCTCTCGAGCCCTGGGACAGAAGGTTTCTGCCCTCCCTCCACTGCTTTCAGGATTTTACACAAGGCTGCTTGTGATTACATAAAGGGTTCTACCACTACAGGCAGACTATGGAAATGAACTTCTCATGACTCACAAGAGCTGCGGGCCGAATGGGCCCCCGACCGACAGGCAGCCCCTACTACAGAAGCCGACTGATGCCAACAACAGCAGAGACGTGACCGCCTTCCTGGGAGGAAATCTGAATCTAACTTTCACATCTTTTTAAATTAAATTTAATATTTTTTTGCTTTTTGGGTCACACCCGGCGATGCACAGGGGTTGCTTCTGGCTCTTCACTCAGGAATCACTCCTGACGGTGCTCAGGGGACCATATGGGATGCTGGGAATTGAACCCGGGTCGGCCGCGTGCAAGGCAAACGCCCTCCCCGCGGTGCTATCTCTCCAGCCCCTAACTTTCACGTCTTATGGATACTGCCAGAATTCCTGACCTTCACTTGGAATCACCCAAGGGTTCTCCTTCTAGAGAGGAGATGCAGAATAATTAAATCCACAATGTGCTCTTTTAACAGCCAAGAGTGAAAAGAAAATCACTGTTCGTTTCAGGTCCTGGCCCCAACTCTGCAATCAGAAACGCCAACTGCTGTGTGACTGAACCTGCTAGCAGGGTTCTGGAGGCAACTCCCTAAGCCCTCCCGCAGCAGAGACGTGGGAACAGGATCAAGTACCTCCGAGAGCCAAACCCACACCTTGCTTGCTGAGGTTGGCGGAGGGGACACCTGAGGAGCGACTCTGCGGAGTGCACTCGGACTCGAAGATCAGAGTCTTGATGAGGGGCTGGATGTCCTCTAGGACGTGGTGGAGGGACTCGAACATCATCCTCTTGAGGAAGCCGGTATTGAAAAGGGAACTTGACCTGAGATGGGAGGAGACGCAAAGGACTTGAGAAGTCTTCGCTCTTTGGAAACGGGCTCCGGACTGAAGCACGACCCGGCGTCTGACCGTAAGGCGCCCCTCACAGAGCATGGCTTCGTTTCAAGGCGAGGGCTTGCTCGGTGCCAGTTCCATAAACCTTGGGACTATCAGCCAGGGAATTCCGTTCCCAGTGAGGCCGATGCGAGTTTCCTGAACCCCGGGACTCGTCTACGCAGCAGTGGAGAATGTGCCGGAACAAAGCATCCCACGGGCTCAGCACCCTACTGCGGGGGCGCGAGGGACGAGACCAGAGGTCCAGGTGCTTCCGAGAAGGATGGAGGAAATGGGAGAACCTGGACCCCTCCTGGCGCTGCCCCGTACCGGCCGCTTTTGAGTCTCTATTCGTTGCCCTAACGTGGGAAATCGACCCTCAGGCAGACTCAGCAGCTCCAGTCTGAGCTGAATGAACGAGAGCCCAGTTCTTCAGGCGGGCAAGGGATGTCCGGAGGAGGGAGAGGGGCAGGAACTGCAGCCGAATGGGGCCATCACAGGCTCAGCTGCAAATGCAGTTCCAGAAGGAAGAAGTCCTTGACCTCTGGCCCTGGCCACACTACTGACCAAGGCCAGGGGTCCACCCCAGCTGTATCCATGAGGAAGCTGGGCAGACCCTCCCCTTCTGGACCCACTGAGCCCTCCACAGAGGTGGCAGCAGGAACTGACCCAGGCACAGAGGGGGCAGGGGAGGCCGGGCAGGTCCACCTTGAGGCGCACGAGCAAAAGCCGCTCTACCCGTGAGTCCCGCCCACTGCAGCAGATGGCCAAGCATTGATGTGAAATAAGATACGAAGCGCAGGGCCAGCCCTGGTGGCGCTCGCAAAGGCGCTCTGACCCTGGGCCCGCAGCCCTAGTGGGACCAAGCTCCCTGGCCTGTGTGTTGTTTTTTTCTCAAGGATCGACAAAGCGCTAACAAACAGCGTGAACACGGGAAGGGCCTGCTGAGAAACGGCGCAGCTCTCGGGCCGCCGTTACCAGGGCACGTGTGCGGAGACTCGGCACACAGTGCTCCAGGGTGCCCATGAGTTAGCAGCAGCAGCAGCAGCACGGCTTACAACCAGCAGAACAACAGGTCAGGAAAATCGAAAAATGAACACACCCCCTCCCCCCCCACAGGAGCAGGGAACGGATGGAAAAGCAAACCGGACACTTGCTCGCTTGGACTGGCGCCGTGGGGGGCTGGGGGCAGGCGTGGGCACTTACCACAGGGGTCCGAGCTCGATGGCCGTCTTCCCGGGCACGCTTCCATGGCACTGACACGGCAGCTGTCTGTAGGGGTTTTCTGGGAAGGCAGAAAAAAAGTGAGTGGAGGGAGCAGGGCCCCTAGCGCGTCAGGGCCCGTACAGGGGTGGGCCCAGCGCCCAGATGCTTAGGGCCCAGATGTGCCAGGCACGGCGCCAGGACTCCTAGACACACAGTTCTTCCAGCTCTGTGACGCATGTCACTTAGAAATCTTCAGCACACCGATTGGTGGGGGAAAGCGTCAGTGATGGGAGAGGTGGAAACGCTTGCAGAGGGCTGACTTCAGTCACCCAGTCTGGTGACGTGATTTAAGGGGGACCGAGTCTGTAGCCGCTCTGTATTTGAAAGTCAGCTGGGGACAAGTTCACTAGACCGAGCACGGTCGGCGGACAGGCTGGGTTGGAAGAGCTCGTATACGTTGGAAAACTTGGGGTGCTGGAAAGTGCCACAGGCTTGAGTCACGGTCAGCCCCGAGGAGAGAAGTACGGAGACTCCTTCGGCGACATCGCACAGGGCACCTGGCTGGCAAGACCCAGCACCGTATCTGGCCCCAAACACACCAGCTCCCTGGCTGAAAAATAAAGACTGGAGTTCAGTTCTCTTTCCCCCTTTCTGGTGGTGCCGGGAACAGAACCCGGGACTGAGCCAGCGTCAGGAGCACCCGGAGGCCAACAGCGTTCTGCGCGAGGCCCGACACTCGCCGGACTTTCTCCAGTGACACCCCCTCACCCTCGCCCCACTTTAAAAACTAGCTAAGGGTGCTTGGAGGGCCCGCTCAGGATGGGAGATGAGGGCTGAAAGTTCCGAACACGATGGCCACCCAATATCTCTGTTGCAAACCACAACACCCAAACGGAGAGAGAACAAAAGGACAAAACAGAGGCAGGATGGGGGAATGGGGTGGGGGTGGCGGGAGGGATACTGGGACTGTTGTTGGAGAATGGGCACTGGTGGAGGGATGGGTACTGAGCACTGTATGAGTGAAACGCAATCACGAAAGTTTGTAAGTCTGTAACTGCACCTCATGGTGATTCACTGATAAAAAATTAAAAAAAAAAAAACTAGCTAAGAGAAGCCACAGAGATAGGACAGCAGGGAAGGTGCTTGCTGTGCACGCGGCCAAGCCAGGTTTGGCAACTACGTGAGCACCCCAGATGGTCCCCTGAGCGCTGCCAAAAGTCACCTGAGTGAGAGCCAGGAGCAAGCTCCGAGCACCGCTGGGGGTGGGCCAGAAAAAAATAAAAATTTTTAAAAAATTTTAAAAACAAGCAAATAGAACCTGTTTTTAGAGTATTATAAGAAGTCAGAATAGTTCAATAGTGAGAAAGTTGTTCTGAACGACCAAATCAATGAATCTTAGAAACCAAACCAAACCAAAACAACAACCACTTTCCCAGACGAGAGCGTCTGTCTCTTCCCCGACGAAAGACTTTCCCTGACAATAATGAAATTCAGCGTCTAGGTAACATTCAACAAGACTGGAATGGAGGCGAGTTAACAAGGTACGTTGGTGGGTTCTCAGATCTGTGCCTGGAGCGAGAGGCTGGAAGAGCACCAGCCGCCAGTGAAAGGAGCCAGCCACACTTCCCCAGCCCACACGCAACAGGCCCTCAGGCCAAGAAGTTTCCAAACCTCAGTGCAGTATGAGAATAAAACACCAACGGATCGATCCTCTTTTTTAACTGAAAAACAGCAACAACACAGACAGTATGAGGAATACTCTGAAAGCAGAGCTTGAGGAGGGCGAGGAGGGTCTGCCCGGACACTTGAACACCACTGAAAATCTCCTGCCATCCTAAGAGCATTGCGTGAAGAGGGGCAGGAGGCTGAACTTTCCCCGGGATACCCGGCCTGCAACATAGTAGCAGCTCAGCAGTTCGAAGGAATTCCGACACAATGGCTTTGCTATCCAGCCAGGAACACGCGGGGCCTTTTTCTAAGATTAAGGATCGGAGCATCCTACACAGAGAGGCGGGCGGACTGCGTTCCTAAAGTGAGTGACGGTGGTAACGGGACTGTTACCACGTGATGGTTGGCCCGCGGGCAGGGCAGGGCTAGAGCAGAGCCCGGCGAACACAAGCAAAGACCCTGAACCAGGGTCTGGAGCGACAGCACAGCGGAGAGGGCGTTTGCCTTGCACGCGGCCGACCCGGGTTCGATCCCCAGCATCCCATAGGGTCCCCTGAGCACCGCCAGGAGTGATTCCTGAGTGCAGAGCCAGGAGTCAGCCCTGAGCATCGCCGGGTGGGACCCAAAAAGCAAAAAAAGAAAAAAATAACGATAAGGTGTCCTCCTCCCAAGCTGCGGGGGCCGGGCACGAGGCGGGCACTCACCTTCCACCATGTTCCCGTCCTTCTGGAAGATTCTCTCCTCGCACCACTGGCAGTGGATCAGGTACTGAATCTTCTTGGCCGTCTCGTCGGCGGACGTGGGGCCCCGCAGCACTCTGACCACCACCAGCACGAAGTGCTCCAGCGCCACCGCGAACAGCACCTCGATGCCTTTGTTGCAGCGGGCGGCCGCCCTGGGCACACGACAGTCGCGTTACTGGCGTTGGCCGGGGGCGCCCCTTCTCCAGGCCGCCGGTGGCCTCGGAACTGGCCGCCGGCTCCAACCCCTGGCATCACGATGCTTCCTGAGCCCCTGCCAGGAGCGATCCCGGTGCCCTGCTGGGTGCGGCCCCAACAGGGAAGAGATGAAATGGAAACCAGCAAAGACAGCGTCCACAGGAAGTCAGCACTCTCTGCAGCCGGACATGATTTCCTTCAGACGTGACTGTGCTGGCTGTCCCACTGAGACGGCTTAGGCAGGTACAAGCCGAGGGAGCTCCAGCCAGTCAGAGGAAGCTGGGAGGCCGGGGAGGGCCGCCAGCCTGACCTGACGATCTGGGCGCGTTTCTATCCTCATGTCCTCTGCAGCGTGTCAGGGCTGATGAGGAGCCACTGGCCAGGCAGCCTCTGCGCTCTCCATAGCCAGGGCACTCCACGAGAACTTTTTTTTCCTTTTTGGGTCCCACCCGGCGATGCTCAGGGCTGACTCCCGGCTCTGCACTCAGGAATCACCCCTGGCGGGGCTCGGGGGACCCTAGGGGATGCCGGGGATCGAACCCAGGGGATCGAACCCAGGTCAACAACGTGCAAGGCAAACGCCCTCCCTGCTGTGCTATCGCTCTGGCCCCTCTACGAGAACTTTCTATGTGAAACAGCTGCCTAAAGTCGCCCGTCGGTTTCTAGAAACCCCAGGGAGTGCACTGTTTCACAAGTAACACCACCTCCCAGGATTGACAGCTCATCAAGTGATCATTTCTTTCCCGGTGGGAACATAAAGTAACAAAATAGGAGACTAACACCTAAGAATGGCCGAGATTAGTACCAGGAATTTTGCTCCATGGCTTGGAGGCCAGCCACACGTGCTAGGGAAAAAAGGGAGCTCAGATAGAGAAAGGAGCACCAAACAAAGGGTGTTGGGAGGATCCTCCCAGGATGGGAGATGCATGCTGAAAGTAGACTAGAGACCAAACATGATTGCTACTCAATGTTTCTTTTGCAAACCACAACACCCAAAAGGAAAGAGAGAACAAAAGGGAATGCCCTGCCACAGAGGCAGGGTGGGATGGGGGGGATGGGGGGTGGGAGGGATGCTGGGACCCGTGGTGGTGGGAAATGGGCACTGGTGGAGAGATGGGTCCTCGATCATTGTATAACTGAAACCCAAGCACAAAAATTTATAAGTCTACAACTGTACCTCATGGTGTCTCACTAATAAAAATTAAAAAGTTAAAAAAAAAACAGGTGATGAAAAGAATATAAAGCAAATTCCGGTTTCTATGTCTACAATCAGTTTCCCCCCTGTTTTTTTGGTTTTGGGGCCACCCCTGGGGTGCTCAGGGGACAGGCCAGACCAGCACTGTCCCGGCTGTGCTCTCTGGCCCTGGGTCTCACCTCGCCACCGCGGCGACGACAATCCTGGCCGCCAGCTCCTTGTAATACTCGGTGCGGACAATGTTGCAGCCATAGTGGCGCCGGGCCACGTGCTGGGCCTTGGCATACAGAGAGCTGAGGTCCGTGGACGTCACTGACACGATGCCAAGGTTTCGGACATTGCGGAACGCGGAGTCCAGATAGTTCACCGAGGTTCCGAACGGGTCAAGGTGTCTGGAAGCCGAACAGGCAGGGGCATTTAAGATGTTCCCGGAATTCTGAACCCCCAGCATCAGGCGTTCCAACGAGGAAAACACGACCCCAGAAGCACTCACTGATCTATTTTAATTTTATTTTTTTTTGCTCTTTGGGTCACACCCAGCAATGCACAAGGGTTCCTCCTGGCTCTGCACTCAGGAATTACTCCTGGTGGTGCTCGGGGGACCTTATGGGATGCCAGGGATGGAACCCGGGTTGGCCGCGTGCCAGGCAAACACCCTACCCGCTAAGCTGTTGCTCCAGCCCCCACAGATCTATTTTAAATAGAACATTCTGGTTCTATTAAAGAAGGACGAAGGAAAAAAAGGATCCAGGCTCTCACTCAAGCTCCATCATCTGTCCTGTAACTTTTTTGGGGGGGGAGGGGTTACTCCTGGCTCATGCACTCAGGAATTACTTTTTTTTTCCTTTTTGGGTCACACCCAGCGATGCTCAGGGGTTACTCCTGGCTTTGCATTCAGGAATTACTCCTGGCGGTGCTCCGGGGACCCTATAGGATGCTGGGAATTGAACCCTGGTTGGCCGCGTGCCAGGCAAACGCCCTACCTGCTGTGCTATCACTCCAGCCCCTGTCCTGTAACTTTTTATCTGGGGCTTGGGGGTACACACCTGGTGGTACATAGAGCTTACTACTCCTGGCTCTGTGCTTGGGGGGTCACTCCTGAGTCCGACCAATGTACTTGCCTCGCACATGGTTCCAGAGGCGGAGACCTGGGTTCACACCCCAGCACCACGTGGTCCGAGCACCACCAGGGCCCCGTCCCAGAGCACTTCCGGGGAAGGCCCAAGCACCTGACTGAGCAACGGCGACCGTCTCAAGCGTGGCCTCGCGCCCACAGGACCCTGGCCCGGGAAGCTTAGCGTGACGCTCACATGAAGTCAAACGCCCGCAAGTGCATCAGCACGTTGGCGTCCATCCTGGTGACCGTGACCTTCCCCGGGCTCTCTTCTGCGCTCTCATCCTTGCCCTCGGTGTCTAGCACCACTGTCAGTTTGTTCAAGTGGCAGTTTTCCTGAATCAATGTCACAGAGTTTTCATTCAAGTCATTAATTGTAACCTTGACTGCACTCCCGAGATGTTTTGCCCACTGTAATCCCATTATCCCTTAGAAGAAATAAGGAGGAAAAGGAGCTCGTGAATGGCGATGATCAAAGAACAGGAACAGGACAACAAGCTTTACGAAATGCAAAAACACACGTTCTCCACACGCTGACATTCTCACGACAAGGCCACCGAGGCAGCGTTAACCGCAAAACACGCCTGACGCGTTAAAACTTACGAGACTTTTCTTACGTTCCCTAAGTCAAATACTCTGCTGGCATTGTTCATGATTTTATTTATTTATTTTCAGTCCCTGGCATCACGTTTACAGAGCACATCGTAAGAACATGCTAGCAAGACCTTCCTTAGCGATGGGCTTAATGCCAGGTGAAGGACCGCGCCACATGACAACACTGTACCAGTCGAGAGACAGGGACACAGGCCAGAACCCTGCCTGGACCCTACCCGCCAGGTGCAATCCTGGCACCCGGGTGGTCCCTGAAGCACTGCCAGATGGCAGTGTGCACCGGGCGCAATCCTGACTTCACCGAGAAGGGACAGTCACACTCGGGCACCATCCCCAAGGGAGGAGCCAAAACAGATCAGCGGGCACAGCAAAGTGTATCAAAGGAATACACTGTCATTTGTTTGTTTTCTGTTTTTTGGGGTCACACTCGGCCGATGCACAGGGTTTACTCCTGATTCATGCACTCAGGAGTTACTGCTGGCGGGCTCAGGGGACCCTGTGGGATGCTGGGAATCGAACCTGGGTCGGCCGCGTGCAAGGCAAATGCCCTCCCCGCTGTGCTGTCTCTCCAGCCCTTAATCTTAACTTTTTAAAGCCTCGTAGCTTACTTTTGTGGCCGTCACCGTGCAGAGGCACACAGGAAATATTTCGCTAAATACGAGGTGTTCCCAAACAGGGATGGAGGGTGTGGGGGGGCCGGACGAGAGAAATGAAGGTCTGGGCGCACAAGACTGGGCAGGTACTGGTCCTGTCTCATTTAAGTCTTGGATTTGGGGGGGGGGTGTCACGCCCTGCAGTGCTGGGGGGGGGGTGAGGGGACGACACCGCTGTGTGGTGCTGGGGACCCAATCGAGGGCTCCTGAAAGCATCACACAAAGTCATTGAGCTGGTGCGTGGCCGGTCCAAAGCAATTAAACAGCCATTTCCCACAACGCAACACAATACAACACAACACACTGGGCCTCCCGTTTCTCAGATCCGAACACGCTGCTACAATCACATCAACAGTCTCTGCGAAAACACGACCACGAGGCACCAGGAAAGCTCCCGCACTCACCGGTGGCTCCGAAGGCGTCGAGACACTCCACGGGCGCCCGCTCCTCCGTCAGGGCCGCCAGAGTGCAGAAGATCAGCTGCCTGGAGGAAGCAGAGGGGGCTGGTCGCGGCCCGCCCGAGGGGAGGGCCCCAGCGCCCGAGGGCGGAGATTCGTGCTGGGACCCAGAGGCGGGCCCAGCCCCCGGGTGCCCCCAAAGCCTTTCTGAGGCGGCTGACCGTCCGTGGTGCCCAGTGCCAGGGGCTGAGCAAACCCAACTTGTGCTGACAAAGGTTTTAGGGGACAGCGCCCGAACCGACCTACAGAGCAGGAGGCCCTGTTGGCCGTGCAGCTGTGTGTGTGTGTGTGTGTGTGTGTGTGTGTGTGTGTGTGTGTGTGTGTGTGGCCAAACCGACCTACAGTGCAGGAGGCCCTGTTGGCTGTGCAGCTGTGTGTGTGTGTGTGTGTGTGTGTGTGTGTGTGTGGCCAAACCGACCTACAGTGCAGGAGGCCCTGTTGGCTGTGCAGCCGTGTGTGTGTGTGTTTGTGTGTGTATGTGTGTGCGAGAGAGAGAGACAGCTTCCTAACCGACCTACAGTGCAGGAGGCCCTGTTGGCCATGCAGTCAGTGTGTTTGTGTGTGTGTGTGTGTGTGTCTGTCCGAACCAACCTACAGTGCAGGAGGCCCTGTTGGCCGTGCAGCTGTATGTGTGTGTGTGTGTGTGTGTGTGTGTGGCTGAACCGACCTACAGTGCAGGAGGCCCTGTTGGCTGTGCAGTCGTGTGTGTGTGTTTGTGTGTGTATGTGTGTGTGTGAGAGAGAGAGACAGCTTCCTAACCGACCTACAGTGCAGGAGGCCCTGTTGGCCGTGCAGCCATGTGTGTTTGTGTGTGTGTGTGTGTGTCTGTCTGAACCAACCTACAGTGCAGGAGGCCCTGTTGGCCGTGCAGCTGTGTGTGTGTGTGTGTGTGTTTGTGTGTATGGCAGAACCAAGCTCCAGGTGTGCAGGGAAACAAGCTCAAAATCCCAGGAGAGAGAAAACAGGGAAAACCCAATACCAGGAGGGGAAGAAAATGACGATGCCCATTGTAGTGACGCATTCTCTATCTGAATGAGAGAAACGTTTGCAAAACAGAACTATGACTCCCCTGCCCCCGCCAAAACTATTTCCTAGATTACGACTCTAGGAACACAAAGATGAAGAAGAGACACTCGTGAAGATGTGAAATGCCCGTAACCCTTCGGCAGGCTGAATTGCTCTTACCTATTTAGCTTCATTTTGGGATTAAAATAGGAATCTGTCTTTTGAGGTATGGAATAGTTAGGACAGACTTGGACATCGGTGTCTGCCTCTTTCAAAATTTCATTAGTTGGTTTAGCAGCAGAAGCTGGAACAAGAAGGGAAAAAAATGCACTGAGATACAAAATAATCTAAAAGAATACACATATATATGTGTTTAAATATGTAGATGGTTTAACTTTCTTTTTTTCCCCCTTTTTTTAAAAATTTTTATCAGTGAGACACCATGAGGTTCAGTTGTAGACTTACAAATTTTTGTGCTTGAGTTTCAATTATGGTAAGTAAAGGCCCTCCCGTTGATCATCGATTTGCTCGAGCGGACCCAGTAACGTCTCCATTGGAGACTTTGTTGTTACTGTGTCTGGCATATCGAATACTCTCGGGAGCTTACAATGATTAAATACCCATCCCTCCACCAGTGCCCATTTCCCACACCGCGGATCCCAGTATCCCTCCCCCTCCACCCCCCCCCCATCCCACCCTGCCTCTGTGGCAGGGCACTCCCTTTTGTTCTCTCTCTCTCCTTTTGGGTGCTGTGGTTTGCAAAAGAGGCATTGAGTGGCCATCATGTTCGGTCTCGAGTCTACTTTCAGCATGCTTCTCCCACCCTGGGAGGATCCTCCCAACACCCTTTATTTGGTGCTCCCTTCTCGATCTGAGCTGCCTTTTCCCCTAGCATGTGCAGCTGGCCTCCAAGCCATGGAGTAAATCTCCTGGTACTTATCTCGGCCACTCCTGGGTGTTAGTCTCCTATTTTGTTACTTTATGTTCCCCAGATGAATGCAATCTTTCTGTGTCTATCCCGCTCTTTCTGACTCATTTCGCTTAACATGATACTTTCCATGGAGTACCACTTGTATGTAAATTTCGATGGCTTAACTTTCTAATACTGGTTAGTACAAGTTACCTTAGATAGAAAACAACAACAACAACAACATACCCACCATAGAAACACTGACTTGCCATCTCTAAAAATCAACATAACTCAGTTTAAAGTTTGAGTCTTCATTTGTGGAATACAGAGTGGGAGACTGGAATGGGAGACTGGCACCCAAGGACAGTAGAGATAAGGACCAGGAGGATGGCCCCATGGCTTGGAAGCCGGCCTCACGGGCTGGGGGAAAAGGCAGCTGGGATGGAGAAGGAACCACCAAATAAATGATGCTTGGAGGGCTCGCTCGGGATGGGAGATGCGTGCTGAAAGCAGACTCTGGACCAAACAGGATGGCCACTTAATGCCGGTATTGCAAACCACAACACCCAAAGGGAGAGAGTAAGAGGGAATGTGGCTGCCACAGAGGCGGGGGGAGGATGAGGTGGGGGTGGCAGGAGGGATGCTGAGACCATTGGCAGTGGAGAATGGGCATTGGTGGAGGGATGGGTGCTCGATCACTGTATGCTGAAACATAATCACGAAAGTTTGCAAGTCTGTAACTGCTTCTCACAGTGATTCAATAGCACCATAGCACTGTCCTGTTCACAGTATGTTTAAACATAATCTCGAAAGTTTGTAAGTCTGTAACTGTACCTCACAGTGATTCATTAGAAATAAATAAATAAAGTCTGAGTCTTTTGGGGGTCGGGGGTGGGGTTGTGTGGGGCTCACACCCAGCAGTGCCCAGCTTTCCTCCTGGTTCTCTGTGATGACTCCTGATGGTGCGTGGGGGGGAGGCCACACGCAGGACTGGCCTCATGCAAAGCCAGTGCCCGACCCACAGAACTACCTCCTGCCCCGAATCAGTTGGCGAGGGAGGAGAAGGCCTTGGGGTTGGGGACGGGCACAGGCCTCACCTGCTTCAGTGCCCAACACCACAGGGTCCCCCCACACCACCGGGCGGTCTGGGGAACCCCAAGCCCTGCACCGGAGTCTCTGTACTGAAGAGCAGGCCTGGCTGGCTGAGAAGCCCTTGAGAGGGGACCCCAGAGAACCACACGGGACCCCCCACAAAAGGAATTCTGTTTTGGGCCACACCCGGTGATGCTCAGGGGTTCCTCTTGGCTCTGCGCTCATGAATCACTCCTGGTGGTGCTCGGGGGACCCTATGGGGTGCTGGGAATCGAGTCCAGGTTGGCCATGTGCCAGGCCAACACCCTCCCCACTGTGCTATCGCTCCAGCCCTTCTCCATCCCCAAATCTTAAGAGCACAGACACTTCTGTAACCATAGTTACAATCCATCAACTCAACACAGCACAAAACCCCCGATTACTTTTATTATCATCATCGTGGAAGATCTGGGTTTTTTAGAGGCTGGCAACTCAATCTCCTGGCTAATACCTTAGTGTTTCTTGCTCGGTAATTCCCTACCGCCCCCGTGGCTGAACCACTATTCCCGGAACTGGCCAGACCTCAGAAGCATTCAAGTAGGACTTCAAATCACTAATAAACCATGGGGGGAAATGACCGCTTCTCAATACACCAATCAATTTGGATAGTGAAGTTTGTTTTGGGGTCCCACCCAGCCATGGTCAGGGCTTAAGAGCCCTCCAAGGATCTCCCACAGGCCATGCAAGCTGAGCTCTCTCCAGCCCCTAGAACAAACCCTTGGGGGCAATCTCTTAAAACCACTGAGAGCCTCCGTAATAATCCCACCCTGAGGCCCTGAAGGAGACCTCACCCAGTGGCCTGCCTTCCCTCAGCTCTCCTCAAGCCAGACTTGGGGAGAAAAATCACGATCACGACCATCCTGTTGCTCGTGGATTGCCTCGAGCAGGCCCCAGTAACGTCTCCTTCGTCCCAGTCCTGAGATTTTAAAAAGTGCCACATTCGAGGCTCTTTCAGGGTTAGGAGAATGAGACCCATCACTGTTACTGGTTTTTGGCATATTGGGAACGCCACGGGGAGTTTGCCAGACTCTGCCGTGTGGGCAGGTGACATTCGGTGGCCTGCCAGTTTGCCCAAAGTAGGAATGAGATAATAAGACGTCGCGCGGCTGCATTTGCTTCCGGGAGCTGGCGGGAAAATGCTGCTGGAAAAAAGATTGGGTTCGATTCTTAAAAGAAAGAGAAGTCCGGGCTGCGGAGACAGCAGAGTGGGTCGGGCACCTGCCTTGCACACGGCTGACCTGGGCATGACCCCCGGCATCCCATAGGATCCTGGGCACCACCACTAACCATTCCTGAGCACAGAGCCAGGAGTAAACCCTTGAGCATTGCCGGGTGTGACCCCAAAACAAATTATTTTATTTTGTTTTGAATTTTGAAAAAAAAATAAGAGACGGAGTGACTAATCACAAAGGAGATACTTAGGGCTTCGAGGCTGACTTGATTCCTGAAAAAAAGGCTGCTTCAGGAGCAGCAAGCCAGGAATAACTGGCTCCCACTCGGGATCATGAACACGGCCTTTCACAAATCGTTCTCCTTTCAACAATACACACGTCCCTGATGCACGAGTCATGATTAGTCATGGGATGCTTGGAGGTGAAGGTACCCTGGCTTGGCCTGGCTGGGGGGTGGGGGGTGCGGCAGCAGCTCAAAGGATTGGGGGCTAGCATCAAGGACAGGGCTGGCCTTGCATGCGGCCAAGCTGGTCACTTGATCCGCGCATCCCATTTGGCCTCGCCCCACCAGGAGCGAGTACAGAGCCAGGAGTAAGTGCTGAGCACACGGGCATGGCCCAAAAGCCAAAAGGCGGGGGCGGGCGGGGGAGGCTGAGTCCATGTGGGAGGTCTGGGTTTGGCACCACCCCCAGCTTTATCTGTGAGGTAGGAATTAAGAGGGGAAGAAGTAAACAGGAAGAAATGATAGTGGGGCTGGAGCAACAGCACAGCGGGGAGGGCGTTTGCCTTGCACGCGGCCAACCCGGGTTCGATCCCCAGCATCCCATAGGGTCCCCTAAGCACCGCCAGGAGTCTGCCCGGAGCGTCGCCAGGTGGGACCCAAAAACCAAAAATAAATAAATAAAATGGCACTGCACTGTTGCACTGTCCTCCCGTTGTTCATCGATTTGCTCAAGCGGGCACCAGTAACGTCTCCATTGTGAGACTTGTTCTTGCGTTTGGCACATCGAAGACATCACGGGGAGCTTGCCAGGCTTTGCCATGCGGGCGAGATGCTCTCGGCTCTCCGAGAGGGGCGGAGGAATTGAACCCGGCTCAGCCGGGCCGGCTGCTCGCAAGGCAAACGCCCTACCACTGTGCTATCGCTCCAGCCCCATTGAATACGGGTAGCTAAGTAAAACAATAATAATAAAAATGTTAAAAAAATTATTTATTTTCCGAATCGTTGTGAGATAGCCCATGCCAGCCATTTGTGACTGGTTTCCGTCACGTGGCGTTGGTTTTATGTTTGTGATGTGGAAGAACAGTCCAGATGTACTCCCGGCCAGGGAGAGCGCTCAAAGGCTTGGTATGGACAGTCCACCCCTCCACTGACCCCGAGCGCTGGCTGGCCAGACCCTCGCCCGTCTGTCGGCAGACCCCCACTTACCAGCACTGTAACTGGACTTGGTCTCGCCCTTGTTCCTGTGGCGCCTGACGTGGCCCAGCATGTCGGTCCGTCTGGTGATCGTCGCGGCGCAGATGACACAATGGTAGTGGGCGCCCATCTGACCGGACACCTGGCCAACGGCGGTTCACCCACAAGCGGGCAAGCGGGGAGACAAGAAAAGGAGTCGATTGGGGAGGGGGCGGGCTGAAGCACGTCGGAGCAGGCTGGGGCGAGTGGCGTGAGGACGATGGCAGGGTTTGGGGTCGGTCCTTCCTCACCTCTGCCTGCACGCGCCGTTTAGTCTTACGACAAGCTAAGGTCGCCCCACTCATTACCGACGAGTAACTAACGGCCCTCAAAAATGGTAAATTCAGGGGGCTGGAGCGATAGCACAGTGGGGGGGGGGCGTCTGCCTGGCACGCAGCCGACCCGGGTTCGAGCCCCGGCATCCCCTAGGGTCCCCCGAGCACCGCCAGGAGTGATCCCTGAGTGCAGAGCCGGGAGTCAGCCCTGAGCATCGCCGGGTGGGACCCAAAAGGCCAAAATAATAATATTAACAATAATAATAATAATTAAGAGTCATGGGATTGGACAGACAGCACAGTGGGGAGGGCGCTTGCCTTGCGTGTGGCCAACCCGGGTTCTATCCCCAGCATCCCATAGGGTCCCTCGAGCACTGCCAGGAGTAATTCCCGAGTGCAGAGCTGGGAATCAGTCCCGCGCATCGCCGGGTGGGACCCAAAAAACAAAATAATAATAAAAAAAAATGGCAAATTTGGTATCGACAGTGACATGCTGTGTGCGTAGAGCCATTGGCTCTCCAGAAAGGAGGCCCTGCTCGGCCTGCGGCTTGCTGTCCAGACAGGCTGCCATGGCCCAGCGGGCATCAGCTAAAAACACAGCCCAGCACGACTCCATGCAGACAGAACACACACACAGAGTTCATTTTCCTCTGACAACCGTGTCCTACACACAGACACACAGTTCATTTTCCTCTGGAACGCTTTTGCTACACATACCCACATACACACACAGAGTTCATTTTCCTCTGGAATACCACTTGCTTCTCACACCACACACACACACACACACACACACAGGAGTTCACGTTCCTCAAAAACAATGTGTGCTAACCACCCCCCCCCACACACAGATGCACACACAGAATTCATTTCCCTCTGAAACACTATGTGTTATACACACACACACACACATACACACACACACAGAGTTCATTTTCCTGTGGAACACCACTTGCTTCACACACACACACACACACACACACACACACACACACACACACACACACGCACACACTCCATTTCCCTCTGGAACACCGTGTGCTTCAGTATCCTGCGACTTCCAGCTGTCGGAGGGAACGGCCGACCCACGTCGAGGGGACGCCAGTTACCTGCTCGCCGCCGACGGTGTTGGGCTTCACGGGCCGGCAGGGCAAGTGACAGATGCACATTCTGTGCCCTGGAAGGGAAAAGAGGGGCCGGTCAGGGCCCTGCTCTGGGCACCGGGGGGTGACCCGCAGGCCGCCAGGACAGGCCGGGAGGGGTCACGGGTGGGTGCCAGCCTCTGCACTCTCGCCCGGCCTGCGTCCTGCCTGACCGGCTCCGACGACACATGCGTGACGTGCCCGGGAGCCCTTGACAGAGAAGGGGCGGGCGGTGCTGGCGTGGGGAGGGGGCTTGCCTCGCACCCGGCCCACCCGACTCAAGCCCCCCGGAGGCGTTCCTGAGTGCAGAACCGGGACTCGCCCCTCATCGTCTCCGGGAGGGACCCCGTCCCCTGCCAACGCCTGCCCCCTCCCCGCCCCGGCTGCACCAACCTCAAGTCCTGCTCGAGTCACTCCTCAGCGGGAGTCGGCCGCCCCCCGCCCGGGGCGTCCTGCTCTCAGAACTCAACTCCCCACTTCCTCCCGGGTCAGATCTTCCCCCGCCCCGCGGAGAGAGCTGCCACCGCCTCCGGGAAGGCCTCGGCAACATGCCCCGCTCACCCAGGCGCTCCTCTCTCAGCTGCCCCCCTCCTCCCCGCCGTGCCATCTGCCCAACCCACCCAGCCGGAGGTGTGGTATCTGGCACCATGGCACCGTCCTCCCGCGGCTCATCGATTCGCTCGATGCGGGCGCCAGGCAGGTCTCCATGCTGAGACTTCTTGTTAATAATCAATAATAGCAACAAATTCTTACTCTGTTCCTTGCCTCAGAATTAATCATCAACAACACAGCACCGTCCTCCCATGGGTCATCGATTCGCTCGATGCGGGCGCCAGGCACGTCTCCATGGCGGGACTTGTTGTGACTGTGTTTGGCATCTCGAAGACGCCGCGGGGAGCTTGCCGGGCTCTGCCGTGCGGGCGGGATACTCTTGGCAGCTTGCCGGGCTCTCCGAGAGGGACGGAGGAATCGAACCCGGGTCGGCCATGTGCCAGGCAAACGCCCTCCCCGCCGGGCTCTCACTCCGGCCGGCGTCAAGATAACCCACCTTCAAATTCCACGGAGACCTTCCAGTGCAGATTCTGCAGGTGGCGGCGGAGTTTGTGGCTATTACAGGCTCGGAATTTTTCCTTGGGACACAAGGGGCAAGCCTGTTTGTTTCCTGGGGGAAAAGACAAACTCAAGGGGCTGGAGCGAGAGCCCAGCGGGGAGGGCGTTTGCCCTGCACGCGGCCAACCCGGGTTCGATCCCCGGCACCCACAGGGTCCCCCGAGCACTGCCAGGAGTGATCCCTGAGTGCAGAGCCGGGAGTCAGCCCTGAGCATTGCTGGGTGGGACCCAAGAAGCAAAATAACAATAAAAATAATAATAATGATATTGGGCCTAATAATGATGAGATCAGGTCCATCACCCAGTTCAGCACCTTGATCAATATTGGAGCACCGCCAGGAGTGATCCCTCACCGCAGAGCCGGGAGTCAGCCCTGAGCACTGCTGGGGGTGACCCCCAACTCCCCCCAGCCCCCCAAAAAGCACCAAGTGAAAATCGAGACGGCACCTGGAGGCAAAGCCCCAACCGCAAAGCACGCCCGTACCTGCATCGTGATCGGAGCTCAAGGATCCGCCCGCGCCCACGTCCTCCTCGGCCGCAAAGGCCAGCTTCTCCAGGTCGGCCAGGTGCCTCTGGATGGACACGTGTCTCCCTGCGGGGCGAGGGCGAGGGCGTGAGCGCGGGCGGGAGAGTGAGGGGATCACTCCGGCAGTGCTCAGGGCTGACTCCTGGCTCTGCACGCACGGCGGGGACGCCCAGGTCTCCTGGGAACGGGGGTCCTGGTACCCGGGGTGGAGCGGGGCCCAGAGGCTGCGGGCCCAGGAGATCCCGGGCGTCCCATAGGGCCCCCCGAGCACTGCTGGGAGTGAGCCCTGAGCACTACTGGGCGTACTCCCTGAGCCCCGATCCGGGAGTCCTCCCTGAGCACTGAGCTAGGAGACATCTCCAAGCCCTGATCCAAGAGTCCTCCCTGAGCACCAAGCCGGGAATCCTCCCCGAGCACCGAGCCGGGAGTCCTCCCCGAGCACCAACCCAGACGTCTCTCTGAGCATCAGGCCAGGAGCCTTCAAGCACCAGGCCGGGAGTCCTCCCCGAGCACTGGGCCAGGAGTCCTCCCTGAGCACTGATCTGGGAGTCCTCCCCGAGCACCGGGGCGAGTCCTCCCCAAGTGCTGGGCCAGGAGTCCTCCCTGAGCACCACGCCAGACGTCTCCCCTTGAGCACCAGGCTGGGAGCCCCCCCCACCCCCGACCACTGAACCAGGAGCTTTCCCCAAGCACTGATCCAGTATTCCCCGAGCACTGATCTGAGAGTCCTCCTCAAACACCAGGCTGGGAATCCTCCCTGAGCGCTGGCCCGGAGCCCTCCCCCGAGCACAGGGTCTGGAGCCCTCCCCCGAGCACCGGGTTAGGAGTCCTCCCCAAGCACCGGGTCAGGAGTTTTCCTCAAGCAATGGGCTGGGAGTGCACCCCAAGCACTGATCCGAAAGTCCTCCCCGAGCAGTGGGCCAGGAGTCCTCCTCAAACACTGGGCCGGGAATCCTCCCTGAGCACTGCTCTGGGAGTCCTCCCCGAGCACCGAGCCGGGAGCCCTCCCTGAGCACGGATCCGGGATTCCTCCCCGAGCACTGATCTGAGAGCCCTCCCCGGGCACCAGGCCGGGAGTACTCTCCAGGTACTGATCCGGAAGTGCTCCTTGAGCACTGAGCCAGGAGCACTCCCCGAGCGCTGATCCGGGAGCCCTCCCCGAGCACTGCGCCGAGAGTCCTCCCCCGAGCACCGGCCCGGGAGTCCTCGGGCGCCCTCGCCCCTCCCCCACTCACGGCCGCCGGCGTCGTCGGGGGCGGCACCGGGCGCGGGCTCGGCGGCCGCGGGCTCCCGGGGCGGCTCGGCCATGCGGGCGGCGGCGGCGGGTCCGAGGAGGCGCACACGGAGCCCGGGCGAGCGCGACGCGCGGCGGCCGCTTCCTCCCGGGAGGCGTCACGGCGCCGCCGCGACTGCGCAGACGCGGCGGCCCGCGCGGCCGGGGAGGCGGGGCCCAGGCGGCGGAGCCAATGAGGCGCGGCTCTTGGGGCGGGGCTCGGGCGGCGCGGCCAATGAGAGTCGGCCCTGGAGGCGCCTTTCCGGCGGGCGGCCCCGCCCCTCCGGCGGCAGGACTACAACTCCCAGAACGCCGCGCGCGGAGGACGGGCCGGCTCCGCCTTCGCCGAGTCCCGCCCCGCCCCGGGCCCGGGCGCCGCTTCCGGCTTCCGGCTTCCGGCTTCCGGCTTCCGGCTTCCGCGCGGGACTACAGGTCCCGGCAGGCGCTGCGCGGGCGGGCGGGCGGGGCCGGGGGCGGGGCCTCCGCCCATTCCCGGCGCCCGCTCGTCGCGGCCGGACGCTGCCGCCGCCCGCTCGGCTCGGCTCGGGCTCCCGGGCCCGTCGCGGCTCCTGAGGGCAGCGGGAGGCTCCGCGCGGCGCCCCGGCCCGGACGCCTGGTGAGCTTCGGCGGCGGCTGCCCCGGGCCGGACTCGGCCCCGGGCGGCGCGTGGGGCTGGGGGTCCGGCTGCCTGTCCGTCCGTCCGTCCGTCTGCCCGTCTGTCGGTCCGTCCGTCGGCCTGTCCGCCCGTTTAGCTTTGGCTTTATACGTCACGCCCGGGGGTGCTGGGGCGGACCCCTGCCTCTGCCCTCAGGGGTCGCCCCTGGCTCTCCTCTGCGATCACTCCTGGCTCTCTCCTCAGGGATCACCCCTTTTCTTCTCAAGGGTCACTCCTGGCTCTCTCCTCGGGGATCGCCCCTGGGCCTCTCCTCAGGGGTCGCTCCTGGCTCTCTCCTCAGGGATCACCCCGGGTCTCTCCTCAGGGATCATCCTGCCTCTGCCCTCAGGGGTCGCCCCTGGCTCTCCTCTGCGATCACTCCTGGCTCTCTCCTCAGGGATCACCCCTTTTCTTCTCAAGGGTCACTCCTGGCTCTCTCCTCGGGGATCGCCCCTGGGCCTCTCCTCAGGGGTCGCTCCTGGCTCTCTCCTCAGGGATCACCCCGGGTCTCTCCTCAGGGATCATCCTGCCTCTGCCCTCAGGGGTCGCCCCTGGCTCTCCTCTGCGATCACTCCTGGCTCTCTCCTCAGGGATCACCCCTTTTCTCCTCAAGGGTCACTCCTGGCTCTCTCCTCGGGGATCACCCCTGGGCCTCTCCTCAGGGGTCGCTCCTGGCTCTCTCCTCAGGGATCATCCTGCCTCTGCCCTCAGGGGTCGCCCCTGGCTCTCCTCTGCGATCACTCCTGGCTCTCTCCTCAGGGATCACCCCTTTTCTTCTCAAGGGTCACTCCTGGCTCTCTCCTCGGGGATCGCCCCTGGGCCTCTCCTCAGGGGTCGCTCCTGGCTCTCTCCTCAGGGATCACCCCGGGTCTCTCCTCAGGGATCATCCTGCCTCTGCCCTCAGGGGTCGCCCCTGGCTCTCCTCTGCGATCACTCCTGGCTCTCTCCTCAGGGATCACCCCTTTTCTCCTCAAGGGTCACTCCTGGCTCTCTCCTCGGGGATCACCCCTGGGCCTCTCCTCAGGGGTCGCTCCTGGCTCTCTCCTCAGGGATCATCCTGCCTCTGCCCTCAGGGGTCGCCCCTGGCTCTCCTCTGCGATCACTCCTGGCTCTCTCCTCAGGGGTCGCTCCTGACCCTCTCCTCAGGTCTGACCCTTGGCTCTCTCCTCAGGGGTCTTCCCTTTTCCCCTCAGGGGTCGCTCCTGGCTCTCTCCTCAGGGATCACCCCGGGTCTCTCCTCAGGGATCATCCTGCCTCTGCCCTCAGGGGTCGCCCCTGGCTCTCCTCTGCGATCACTCCTGGCTCTCTCCTCAGGGATCACCCCTTTTCTCCTCAAGGGTCACTCCTGGCTCTCTCCTCGGGGATCACCCCTGGGCCTCTCCTCAGGGGTCGCTCCTGGCTCTCTCCTCAGGGATCACCCCGGGTCTCTCCTCAGGGATCATCCTGCCTCTGCCCTCAGGGGTCGCCCCTGGCTCTCTCCTCAGGGATCACCCCTTTTCTCCTCAAGGGTCACTCCTGGCTCTCTCCTCGGGGATCACCCCTGGGCCTCTCCTCAGGGGTCGCTCCTGGCTCTCTCCTCAGGGATCACCCCGGGTCTCTCCTCAGGGATCATCCTGCCTCTGCCCTCAGGGGTCGCCCCTGGCTCTCCTCTGCGATCACTCCTGGCTCTCTCCTCAGGGGTCGCTCCTGACCCTCTCCTCAGGTCTGACCCTTGGCTCTCTCCTCAGGGGTCTTCCCTTTTCCCCTCAGGGGTCGCTCCTGGCTCTCCTCAGGGATCACTCCTGGCTCTGCCCTCAGGGATCACTCCTGGCTCTGCCCTCAGGGATCACCCCTGGGCCTCTCCTCAGGGATCAACCCTGACAGTGCTCAGGGCTGACCCCTGGCTCTCTCTCTGGTCAGGGATCGCTCCTGACTCTCTCCTCGGGGATCACCCTGGGGTCTCTTCTCAGGGATCATCCTGGCTCTGCCCTCAGGGATCACCCCTGGGTCTCTTCTCAGGGATCATCCTGGCTCTCCTCAGGGATCACCCCTGGCTCTCTCTCTCTGGTCAGGGATCGCTCCTGGCTCTCCTCAGGGATCACTCCTGACTCTCCTCGGGGATCACCCCGGGGTCTCTTCTCAGGGATCATCCTGGCTCTGCCCTCAGGGATCACCCCTGGCTCTCTCCTAAAAGATCACCCCTGGGTCTCTCCTCAGGGATTGCCCTTGGCTCTTCTCAGGGATCAGCCGTGACAGTGGCTTCTCCTCAGGAATCACTCCTGGTGGTGCTGAGGGCTGACCCCTGGCTCTCTCTCTGGTCAGGGATTGCCCCTTCGCTACTCAGGGATGGCTCCTGACTCTCTCCTCAGTCACTCCTGGCTCTGCCTCCAGGGATCACTCTTGGCCGTTTTGTGGCCGACACCTGGCTCTGCTCTTGAGGATCTCTCCTGGTGGTGCTCAGGGGACCCTGTGGGATGCTGGGGATCGAACCCGGTTTGGAACCCCGGGAGGGCAAGGCCAACACCCTCCCCACTGTGCTTTCGCTCCAGCCCCTCCTCAGAGCCTTCTGGAAGTCGGCAGTGGGTGCAGATGCTCGTTCCTTTCGAGACTGTGACTAACTGGAGTCCCTGCTGACCACGAGTGCTTGGCATTGCTTGGCTTCGGGCCTTCGGGCTCACCCGGCAGTGCTCCCAGAGGACTCTGGACTCTGCTCAGGGGGATCAATTCGGGCACTGGTGGAGTGGAGCCAGCCAGCACCTCACCCCCAACCCAAACACACTCTCTCGCCCTGTGGCGCCTGGGACCCGGGGACGGGCCTGCTTCAGAAGCCGAGCCGGCTCTGTGACGTGTTTCATCCTGTCGAAAAAGACACACAGGGGACTGGAGCAACAGCACAGCGGGGAGGGCGTTGGCCTGGCACGTGCCCGACCCGGGTTCGATCCCCAGCATCCCCTAGGGTCCCCCGAGCACCGCCAGGAGTGATGCCTGAGTGCAGAGCCAGGTGGGACCCAAAAAGCAAAATAATAATGATGATGATGATGATGATGATGATATTGGGTCCATCACCCAGTTCAGCACCTTGATCAATATTGGATCCATCCATAGGGGCTGAAGCGAGAGCACAGCGGGGAGGGCGTTGGCCTGGCACACGGCGGACCCGGGTTTGATTCCCAGCATCCCATAGGGTCCCTCGAGCATCGCCAGGAGTGATTCCTGAGTGCAGAGCTGGGAGTCAGCCCTGAGCATCGCTGGGTGGGACCCAAAAGCAAAAAAAAAAAAAAAAAAAGACACAAGGTGCTTTTGCCCTCCACCCCCAACTCCTGTTGACCTGGCGTCCTGCAGCCTGTACGTAGGGTCATGGGGTGCACCAGGGCTGGCCCTCGGCAAGCGGGTGTCACCGGCGGGGGGGGGAGGGTCTGACCTGGGACCTCGTGCCTTGCACATCCTGCATGTGGGGCAGGGATGGGATCAGACTCGGGTCCGACCCTGCCCCATGACATGAAACCGCGTCCCCGAGCCCCACCTGATAACGGGTGTCTCGCCTGCCTGTTTTCCAGCCTCTCAGAATGTACGCCAGAGAGTCTTGCGGGAAGCAGGAGAAGACCCAGAAGAAAGGCCCGGCCTCCGAGCCCGGCTTCTACGAAGACGTAAGAATTTCCCGTTTCCTCACCCTCAAGGCACCCATTTTATTTGTTTTTGTTTTTCTGCTTTTTGGGTCCCACCGGTGATGAGGCTCAGCTGACTCCCGGCTCTGCACTCAGGAATGACTCCTGGCGGTGCTGGGGGGACCCTAGGGGATGCCGGGGATCGAACCCGGGTCGGCCACATGCCAGGCAGCTGGCAGGCCATATCCGCCCTCGGGCCTTGGCGAGGTCACTAAGTAGAGAAGGGGCTTTAGGTGCTGGGGAGAGGGCTGGCCATGGGGACTGGAGCAGGGAGTCTCTACTTTGCAGGAAACAGCCCCACAGGCCCTGCGGGCACTCAGCCAAGATTGGAAGCCAGGCTGGGCCAGCAGCAGATGATTCCCTTCAGGAAAGGCCTCGAGGAAGGGGAAAGGAAAGCAGGCTATGGGGGGGGGGGCCCTAAATTCATCCCCTTTCCCACCCCTTTATTTTATTTTATTTTTTGCTTTTTGGGTCACACCCTGCGATGCACAGGGGTTCCTCCAGGCTCTGCGCTCAGGAGTTACTCCTGGCGGTGCTCAGGGGACCCTATGGGATGCTGGGAATCGAACCCGGGTTGGCCGTGTGCCAGGCCAACGCCCTCTCCCCTGTGCTATTCTCCAGCCCCCCTCCCCTCCCACTCTTAAAGAAAGGTGGGTGGGTGAGCAGTTCTTTATCTCTGGAATGTCTTGGAGGGGATGCCTCCTTTGCAGGGCCAAGGTCAGTCAGGAAAGGTCAGCGGCGAGCCTGCCGTTCTGACATTCCACACGTGGTTCCTTTTCTCTAGGGCTGTAGCTCTCATCTCGCCTGGCCTGTGCCCCTTTTTGGTCCCCGTCCCTGCCACCTCCGCGGCCGGAACTGGGCTGTCACTTCCCAGCTCATTATTTCTCTGATTTCTCCATGTGGCCTGTCCCGTGCCTCCGGGGTCACATGTAGATGTTGTTTCTCCATCGAGCCTGGTCAGAGGCGTGGAGGAAAAGTCGAGCAAGTGGAATGAGTGAAACTCGGAGGGCTGCAGGCCTGGGTCAGGCTGTTCAGTGCTGTTCAGACTCTGCAGCCTCCTTTTTATTGTAAAATGACACACACAGGGTCACACCTGGCAATGCACAGGGGTTCCTCCTGACATGCAAGTCACGTTAAACAAAAAATTCACGCACAAGTTTTCTTTTTTTGTTTGTTTGTTTTTGTTTTTGTTTTTTTTTTTTTTGCTTTTTGGGTCACACCCAGCGATGCTCAGGGGTCACTCCTGGCTCTGCACTCAGGAATTACTCCTGGCAATGCTTGGGGGACCATATGGGATGCCGGGGATTGAACCCGGGTTGGCCGCATGCGAGGCAAGCGCCCTCCCCGCTGTGCTATCGCTCTGGCCCCATGCACAAGGTTCTTATCTTAACAAGGTGCAGACTCGCTCGGCAAAGATGAACATCACACATTAACGTTACACGTTTAATCATCTGCAGAGCGCCAAGGACAAAGCAGCTGCAGTCCTCCCTGCCAACCACCGGCCAGTCACTTAGTTCCTGGGCTGTGTGCTGCCTTGTTTGCTGGGCTCTGTTTTGGGAACTTTCCTCAGACATCACTCTGGTGCCCGAGAGTCGTGACCCCCGGTAGCTGTCACACGGAAGGACTGATGTTTCATAACATCAGTGCCGTGAGACACTCCCATCTCGCTCGGGCTTCAGTTTGACTGCTTTTCCTGCTTTTATACTGTTGTCCCTCTCAACGACGACCTTAGGAGAAGAGAGAGAAGAGAGGCCTGACCGAAAGTTCGAGAAGTCCAAGCTCAGCGGCATCAGTGAGGCGTGTCTCGGGGGAGAAGAGAAAGCTAGTGAGTGACGGTGTCACTTGGTTGTGTCACCTTAATCCCAGCCCCTCGGGGTGGAAAACCCCTGTCTCCCCTTGTCCTTCCCTCATCTGCCTAATGGAGCCGCGTTTTTTTGTTGTTGTTGTTCTTCTCAGAAGTCAGATCACACCGACCTCAGGTTCTGTCCCGTGAAAAGAAAACCAGAAGCAAAAAGGTAAATCTCCTCCTGCCTTTCCTTCACTATTCTTTCCAGTTTGGCGTAGACACACCAGAAAGTTCTCTTGGTTTTGGAACCACACCCGACAGTGCTCAGGGATCACGCCTGGCTCTGTGCTCCGGGAACACTCCTGACAGGGTGTGGAGAACCATACAGGGGGCCGTGGATCGAACTTGGGTGGGATGTGTGCAAGGTAAGCGCCCTCCCTGCTATACTGTTGCCCCAGACTGATTTGGAAAGAAATTTGTTTCTGGGGCTGGAGCAATAGCACAGCGGGTAGGGCATTTACCTTGCATGCAGCCTACCTAGGTTCGATTCCCAGCATCCCATATGGTCCCCCACGCACCGCCAGGAGTGATTCCTGAGTGCAGAGCCAGGAGTCAACCCTGAGCATCGCCGGGTGTGACCCAAAAAGCCAAAAAAAAAAAAAAAAGTTTTTTTCTTTTGGAGGTCACATCTGGCAATGCTCAGGGGTTCTCTGCATTCAAGGATCACTCCTGGCGGGGCGCAGGGGACCCTATGGGATGCTTGGGATTGAACCCGGGTTGGCCGCGTGCAAGGCAAATGCCCTCTTCGCTGTACTATCGCTCTGGCCCAACCAGAAGAGGTTTCTTGTTTTGTTTTTTTGGGGCCACACCCGACGGTGCTCAGGGGTTACTCCTGACTCTGCATTCAGGAATCACTCCTGGAGGTCCTTGGGGGACTCCGTGGGATGCCAGGGATCGAACCCAGGTCAACTACATACAAGGCAAACGCCTTCCACCCGTACTGTTCCTTTGACCCTGGGAGTTCTTTTTGTTTGTTCTTTTGTTTGATTTTTTTTTTTTTGGATGGAGCCACACTCAGCAGTGCTCAGGGATGACTCTGGGCTCTATGCTCAGAGATCACTCCTGACAGTGCTTGGGGACCCTGTGGGATGCTGGGGATCGAACCTGGGTTGGCCGGGTGAATGGCACAGAGCTCCTGTGCTCTTTTCTTGGGTGTGTGTGTGTGGGGGGGGGCTGGTGGTCAGGGTGCTTCCTCCTGACTCTGCACTTAGGGGTCGCTCCAGGAGCCTGTCTCTAGGGCTGGACTCCCCCCGGCCCCGCCACTTCGTTCTCAGTAGGGTCCTTTCTTGCTCTCTTGATGCAAGTCGATGATGCAAACGATGCCTGGCCCCAATGCACGTGATCTTGTATCATCTGTCCGACGATCTGCTCTCTGCTGCTTTCCAGACCTTACATAGAAGCTGAGGATGCTCTCAGGAAGAGGGCGAAGGTTGCAGCATGGTCCCAAGGACCCCCTAAGCATCACGAAGCCTCGCATTCAGCCGTGAGTCAGGGCCGTTCCCAGAGCCCTGCCCTGCACAGGACTAAGAAGGGTGCGAGCGGAGCGCCCGAGTGCAGGCCTCGAGACCCTCAGCTGACCCCTGGCAGGAGGAAGCAGGACCCTAAGCCCGACTGCCAGGCTGGAGAGAGGAAGTCGGTCACAAGAGAGGCGAAGCAGGAGAAGCCCCCTGGAGCTCCGGGCGGCTCGAGGAAATGCGTCTGGGAGAAACTCCAGAGGGCCCAGGCTGCCGAGGGTCCCGACCCGCCCGGCCAGGAGCCCCTGGACTCCAGGAGGAAAAGGATCAGCTTCAGAATCCCCGTCCGGGCCCGCGACTCCCCCCGGAAGCCCTCCGAGACAAACGCCTTCAGATCCCCGTTGGAGGCGGGGGAGGAGAAAAAGGGCGCAGGAGACTCCCGGGGCTTGCCGAGGGGTTTGCCGAAGGCCAGGGAGTCCCGGAGCGCACTCCCGTTGGCAGGGCCGGCGTCCACATCGGCCGTTGGCGAGTGGACCGGGAGAGACGAACAGGAGCCTCGCGGCCGGAGCCAGCCGCATCCTGGTGGGAAGGTGTCTGAGGTGAGGCGGGGCCAGGAGGGTCGGGCCTCGAAGTGTCCCCCCGGCTCGCGACCACCCACTCCAGGCGAGGTGCAGCTGGTCACTTCAGACCCACCTCCGCGTCCTCCTGTGTCCTGGAGTGTTCTCTGCTGGGAGGAAGGAGAGGCCGGGACGGAAGGGCGGGAGGAGCGTCTGTCTCTCCGAGGGCCCAGCACAGAGACCAGAGCTAGGAGGCTTTTCTTGGCGTTTTCCTTGGTTTTGGATTTGGGGGCACACCTGGCGATGCTCAGGGCTGACTCCTGGCTCTGCACTCAGGGGTCACTCCTGGCGGTGCTCGGGGGACCCTAGGGGATGCCAGGGATTGAACCCTGGTCAGCCGTGTGCCAGGCAAATGCCCTCCTTGCTGTGCTATTGCCCAGGTCCCTGGTTCATCACTCTTTATTGATTGATTGATTGATTGCTTTTTGGGTCCCACCCGGCGATGCTCAGGGCTGACTCCCGGCTCTGCACTCAGGGATCACTCCTGGGGGTGCTCGGGGGACCCTAGGGGATGCCGGGGATTGAACCCAGGTCGGCTGCTTGCAAGACAAGCACCCTAACCTTAACACATTCTAGAATTTGTAACCTACTTCTGAGTGTTACATGCTGAAAGTTTTGTGGGTTTTGTTTTTCTAATTTTTGGGGGGGAGGGGGCTCTGCCCAGAGGTGCTCAAGGCTGACTCCTGGTTCTGTGCTCGGGGATCCCTGCAGTCAGTTCTGGGGACCACGTGGAGTGCTGGGGATTGAACCTGGTGCCTGTCTGTGCAAGGCAAATACCCTCCCTGCTGTACTAGTGCTCCAGCCTGTGTCTTTGCTTCCAGAGTGCAGAAATCAAAAGCGACAACTAGTAGGACCATGATGCCAGAGGGGAGGGGATTTTTTTTTTTTTTGCTTTTTTTGGTGAGGGGAGGGGCATGCCGGGCAATACTCAGGGGTTCCTCCTGGCTCTGCACTCAGAAATTACTCCTGGTGGTACTCGAGGGACTCTATGGGATGCCGGGGATCGAACCTGGATCACCCATGTGGGAGGCAAACGTCTTCCCCACTGTGCTACCGCTCCAGCCCCAAGGGAGGGAATTTTTGTTTTTCTTCATGATTATTCTGCAGTTAGTGGAGTTAAAACACTCCCCAAAGGTTTGAGAGCTGCCTTGCTTTTGTGTTTTGGAGGGTTTGGAGTTTTGGGTTTTTGTATTAAGGGTTTTTTTGTTTTGGGGGTCACTCCCAGTGTGCTCAGGGCTGACTCCTGGCTCTGCACTTGGGGATCACTCCTGGGAGGACTGGGAGGACTCGGAGGACCATGTGGGGTGCTGGGCACTGAACCCGGGTCGGCTGTGAGCAAGGCAAGCACCCTGGCTTGTTCTCCTGACAGCAGCCTTGCCTGAGAGTCTGCATTTTTTAGTCACAGATGCAGCAAGTAAGTATTCTTCTGGGACTAAGTAGATTTTCTTTCCTTTTTCGGTGGTGTGTGGTGTTTTGGGCCACACCCCAGGGTGCTCGGGAATCTCTCTTGGTGGTGTGCTCAGGAGTGACCCCCTGGCAGTACTCAGGGGACCCTATGTGGTGCCAGGGATGAAGCCTTGCTCTGCTACATGCAAGACAAGCGTCTTACTCGCTGTACTAGCTCTCTGGTACCCACAAATATATTTTCTTCTCTTTTTTGGTTTTTGGGTCACACCTGGTGATGCACAGGGGTTACTCCCTGCTCTGCACTCAGGAATCACTCCTGGCGGTGCTCGGGGGACCCTATGGGTTGCCGGGGATCGAACCCGGGTCGGCCACATGCAAGACCCATTGGACTAGCGGTCTGATCCTGACTAGATTTTTTTTAGCAGATTATTCATAGCTGTTCATCAGCTTCGTGTGGTTTGTCCTTTTGTCTTCCTCACCAGTTCCTCAAGGGCGAATGATTTTCAGGATCTAACGAAAGGCCGTGACCCGGGAAGCCTGGTATTTTGATGTACACAATGCACAGTTACCCTCGGAGAAAAATCGCTCCTTTTTTTCTCACTTCTACAGAGTTCTAGGCTGTAGACCCGCTGAGGCTGTCCCGTCACCTCAGCATTTGCCAGTCAGTGTTGTAGTTCACAGACCAGTTTCCTAAGCAGCATCGCCCCGGCCCAGCATTGCAAAGCCCTTGTCTCTCTGCTCTCAGCTTTGTTCCCCACTGCTAAAAGTTCTCTTCGTTTCCATTGCAGCATTTCGAAGCACCCTGCTCCTCCGTGTCGCCCAAGAGCAGCCAAGATACAGATGAAGAGGTCGCTGGTCTCTTTATTTCCTGTGGCTGTTGTGAAGTGGTCATTTCCACAGTCCCATCTTTTTCTTTTTTGTTTTGTTTTTTTTGGTCACACCCGGCAATGCACTGGGGTTCCTCCTGGCTCTGCACTCAGGAATTACTCCTGGTGGTGCTCAGGGAACCATATGGGACGCTGGGAACCGAACCTGGGTCGGCCGTGTGCAAGGCAAACACCCTACCTGCTGTGCTATTGCTCCAGCCCCCACAGTCCCATCTTTTGACCAAAAAAAAAAAAAAAAAATGAGACCCTGAGCATCTGGGTAATAAGAGAATGTCCACATGCATTCAGTCAGGAGGTGCAGTTTTTATGACGGCATAAAAAAAAAAAAACGGTGTGGAAAAGAATTGCCTTTACTCAAACACATTTTTTTGGTTTTCATTTCTGAGACAGTCTACTCTGTTTGAATATTTTTGTTTTTTTGGGCCACATCTGGACTTAACTTTTGGCTCTGCACTCAGGAGTCATTCCTGGTGGTGCTCTGGACCCTGGAATATGGGGGATCAATATATTCTGTTTTGAATGGTCATCTCATGGAACTGATGACCCACGGGCTAGGCGAAGTTGGGTTTTTTTTTTTTATGTATTTATTTATTTTTGCTTTTTGGGTCACACCCGGCAATGCACAGGGGTTCCTCCTGGCTCATGCACTCAGGAATTACTCCTGGCGGTGCTCAGGGGACCCTATGGGATGCTGGGAATTGAACCCGGGTCAGTCACATGCAAGGCAAACGCCCTACCCGCTGTGCTATTGCTCCAGCCCCTTGTTTTTTTTTTTTTTTTTTAAATATTTGTTGTCTGGGGGCCATGCCCGGCTGTGCTCTGGAATTACTCCTGGCCCTGCACTCGGGAATCACTCTTGACAGTACTCTGGGGACCCGATGGGGGACCAGGGATTGAACCCAGATGGGCGTCAGTGCAAGACCAGCACCCTCCCCGTTGTGCCGTGGCCCCGGCCCCCTTCCTGTATTTGTAGATCCTTTTCTTTCACAAAGCATCTATCTCTCTTAAGCCAATCAAGAACCATCCGCCTGTTGCTTTCCTTGGTTATTACTTGGCTGCAGAGTTTGAAGGTTTTTTTTTTGTTTTCTTTTGTTTTGTTTTTTTTCCCGATCCTTTCCACCATAGATGCAGATCGTGGAAGAGCTTCACGCTGCTAGGGTGGGCAAAAGTATGGATTTACTGGCGGGTCCCACCCCAGGGGAGCTGATGAGTATGGAGATCGACCTGGCGGAAGAGGATGTCCATCCCTCTGCCGGTACACGCTCGATGGATGGGACAGCCTTTAGAGAGCTCCTGTGCCCTTTTCCTGGTTGGGGGGGGAGGGCAGGGTCTGGGTGCTTCCTCCTGTCTCTGCACTTAGAGATCGCTTCTGCTGGGTTGCCGGGGACCTTATGGGTTGCCGGGGATCGAACCTAGGTCAGATGCGTGCAAGACAAGAACCTTCCTAACTTTCTGGTCCCTCTTAAGTAATGTGCTTCTTAATTCAGTGTCTTTACTGTTGAGATGAGCAGGCTGCTGGTTTGAAATGATCACGTGTGCGAGCTTTCTTTAGTTACAAGACAAATATTTCATCCTCATTTGCTCTGGGTATCATGAGACAAAGCTTTCAGCTTTTTTTGCCGAAAGAAAGTACTTAAGAGTTTTTTGTTGTTTGTTTTTGATTTTTAATTTTATTTTACTTGCTTTTTGGGTCATCCCTGGCTATGCACAGGGCTGACTCCTGGCACGGCACTCGGGAGTTACTCCTGGTGGTGCCCAGGGGACCCTATGGGATGCTGGGAATCGAACCTGGGTCGACTGCGTGCAAGGCAAACGCCCTACCCGCTGTGCTATCGCTCCAACCCCTGTTTGTTTTTTAATTTGATTTTATTTGCTTTTTTGGTCCCACCTGGTGATGCTCAGGGCTGACTCCTGACTCTGCACTCAGGAATCACTCCTGGCGGGGCTCAGGGGACCCTAGGGAATGGGGGGGATCGAACCCGGTCCTCTGCATGCAAGGCAAACGCCCTACATGCTGTGCTATCACTCCAGCCCCTACTCAAGAGTTTTGAGTTCTCTTTCCGCTTTACTCTTAATTAGGACTTTTAACAATTTCATTGAAGGGGCTGGAGTGGTAATTAGGGGCTGAGTGTGTACTCGACATGCAAGACCCAGGTTTGAACCCTGGAAGCCCCCACAGGTGTAGCTGGAAAGTGTGGCCAAGCCCTTGCACGCAGTCCACCTGGGTCTGATCTTCAGCACCACAGATCCCCAGAACACCTCCCGGAGTGACCGCTGAGCGCTGTAGGGTCTGGCCCCCAAACCTAAACCAAACTAAAAACAGTTACATCTCCGTAAAGTAACACGGCTTCAATCCCCAGCATCCCATAGGGGTCCCCCAAGCCCTGCCCGGAGTAATTCCAGGTGTGGCTCCAAACAAAAACATTTTTGAACATTCTTCCTGCTGGGGAAAGGAAAGGACAGATGATGTGTAAAACCGATTTTGAGTTTTATTGAAGGAGTAATGTCGTAGGACACTAACTTTGCATTGTTAAAATTTTTTAAAGTTATTTTTGTGTGTGTGTGCATTAACATACTGGGCCTTATAGTGACACACTCTGGTCACTTCTATTATTTTATTTATATTGCCCAGATCTATCTTTTAGACATTTCAGCTGGCCTGTCATTAAACTTAGCTAATGATTTTTTTAAAAGTAATTAAGTACATTTTATTTTTCTCTGTTAAGAATAAACTACCGAGAGTATCCCACCCCCATGGGCAGAGCCTGGCAAGCTCCCCGTGGTGTATTCGATATGCCAAATACAGTAACGACAACAGCTCTCATTCCCCCTGACCCTGAAAGAGCCTCGAATCGTCGGGAAAAGACGAGTAAGAAGAGGCCACTAAAATCTCAGGGCTGGGAGGAAGAGAGACGTTACTGGCGCCCGCTCTAGTAATTCGACGATCAATGGGATGACAGTGACTGTGATACAATGAAGAAATGAACTTAACCAAGGAGATGGCAGACTTCTACATTTCTCCCTTGAAAACTATGTCACTATTGAAAGAAGTGGAGTGATGGGACTATAAACCGTTACATTGTTATTATTGTTTTTATTGAATGAGATACACAGTTACAAAGTTGTTCAGTTGTATAATGTTCCAACAGTATATTTCCCACCATCACCGTCCCTGGTATCCCTCACCTGTCCCCCCTCCCACTATGGCGGACGCTTAGCTGATGATTTCTAACCAGCGACTAGTAACCCAGGGCTGGATCATTGTCGCTGTTGTGGCAAGTTGGGTTTTTTTTTTTTCATCTAAAATCCACTCGAAATCCACCCATGAGCAATTTGTAGTGTCCTATTGGGTGGTCATAAAACTCACTGTCACTGTCCTCCCATTGTTCATCGATTTGCTCGAGCAGGGCCCAGTAACGTCTCCATTGTGACACTTATTACTGTGTTTGGCAACTCGAATACATCACGGGGAGCTTGCCAGGCTTTGCCATGCAGGCGAGATCCTCTCAGGAGCTTGCCAGGCTCTCCGAGAGGGGCGGAAGAATCGAACTCAGGTCGGCCATGTTGGCCGCTTGCAAGGCAAACGCCCTACCCGCTGTGCTATCGCTCCAGCCCAGTCATAAAATAGAGTATAATGTACTTTCTGTTGTGGATTGTAATAAATACTTTTTGAAAATTTTTGCTACCAAAGGGCTATCTTGGTTTGAGACTGCTATCAAAATTGGTAGCACGTGAGATAGGACAGCGGGGAAGGTGCTTGCCTTGCATATCAACAACTTGGGGGTCTGTCTCTGGCATCCTATGGGGTCCTCCGAGCAGGGCTAAGAGTAATTCCTAAGTGCAGAGCCAGGAATGACCTCTGAACATCACTGGATGTGGCCCCGGAACAAAGCAAAAGAATGCTGTCAAAATTCCGTGATACCAACATTTTAGCATTATTTTTTTCTGTTCTCCGTTGTCACCAAACCTAATTTTGTTCTTTTTTTTTTTTACCCTCTAGCAAATCCGGCTTCAGACCAAAAGCTTCTAATTGTCATTGACACAAATATTCTGATGAATCACCTCAAATTTGTTAAAAGTTTGAAGACCACAGAAATCCCAGGTATTTCTAAAACAAGCATTTATGGAATTTGATTTAAAATATACCCCTATTGGGGCCAGAGCAATAGCACAGCGGGTAGGGCTTTTGCCTTGCACGCAGCCGACCCGGGTTCGATTCCCAGCATCCCATAGAGTCCCCTGAGCATTGCCAGGAGTAATTTCTGAATGCAAGGCCAGGAGTAATTTCTGAATGCAGGGCCAGGAGTAACATCTGTGCATCGCCAGGTGTGACCCAAAAAGCTAAATAAATAAATAAATAAAGTGATCTGTGTGACCACAGAGCTGGAACAAGTTCCGAGCACAGCTAGATGTTACTCAAAAACCGAGGGGGAAAAAAAAGTTTTTTCCCCCTCTTCCTGGTTAACTCACTCTTCTTGGGGCTCCACTGAAGTTTTTTTTGTTTGTTTGTTTTTTGTTTTGTTTTGCTCTTTGGGTCCCACCCGGCGATGCTCAGGGCTGACTCCTGGCTCTGCACTCAGAAATCACTCCTGGCGGGGCTCGGGGGACCCTATGGGATGATGCCGGGAATCGAACCGGGGTCGGCTGCGTGCAAAGCCAATGCCCTCCCCGCTGTGCTTTCGCTCCGGTCCTTCCACTGGACTCTCTGTGCCTCGTCCTTTTGCTACTTAACTCTTTCAGCTTTCCTCAACCCACGCTTCCTGCTGCGTTGGTTTCAGCAGTTGGGGACAGACTTCCGAGAGACCCTTCTGCCCCGCAGGCTTTGACGGACTCGTGTTGATCATTCCCTGGGTGGTGGTCCAGGAGCTAGACCGCATGAAGGACGGGAAACTGCTGAAGCACGTGCAGCACAAGGCCATCCCCGCCGTCCACTTCATCCACGACGGGCTGCGAGAGCCGGATCGGAAGCTCTGGGGTCAGCCCCTCCAGCTGGCAGCCCAGAAACTCTGTAAGTGTCACGCCACGCGTGCCCTCACTGGGGCAGGCTGCCGGGGTGGGAAATGGCTGGGCACAGGGGGGCTGGGTGGGCTTTGACTTGGCTGCTTCTTGGATGCCTCGGGGAGGTTGGCCCGCGAGTCCCAGCTAGCGTTCGGGTGATTCCGTCCATTGACAGAGGGGCCTCCTGACGCCCCTTCTCCAGTTCCAGGTCAGGGATGGGGCCTCCTGTTTTAATACAAAGAGATGTCTTTGTTTTTTTGTTTTTGTTTTTGTTTTTGTCTTTTTTTTTTTTTTTTGGCTTTTTGGGTATAGGGCCTGAGCCTTGCACGCAGCAGACCCAGACCCGGTCGCAGCAGACCCAGACCCCTCTCGCCCGCATGGCGAGGTCCCCATGACGTGTTCGATATGCCAAACACAGTAACAACAAGTTTCATGATGGAGATGGTAGTGGGCCCACTTGAGCAAATCGATGAACAACGGGAGGACAGTGCTACAGTGATTTTTTTGGGTCCCACCCAGTGATGCTCAGGGCTTACTCCTTGGCTCTGCAGTCAGGAATCACTCCTGGTGGTGCTCGGGGGACCCTAGGGGATGCCAGGATTTGAACCTGGGTTGGCCACGTGCCAGGCAAATGCCCTCCCCGCTGTGCTATGGCTCCAGCCCCAAAACGATGTCTTTGTAATCGGGGATGTAGATCCTTCCTGCCCTTCCTTTGGCTCTGGAGCCGTTTGAAAAGATCCCACTGATACTGCAGGACGCGCTTGATGGGATCTTGGGGCTTTGGTTTATGGGCCACACCTGGCAGTGCTCAGGATTTATTCCTGGCTCTGTGCTCAGGACTGATCATGCAGTTGGGGGGGGGGGGGGCTGGGGAGCTGCGTATTTAATCTGGGTTGGCCTCTTGCAGGGCAAGTGCCTTACCCATTTTTATCTCTCCAGCCCTTGTTTCTTTTTCCTTTTTTTTTTTTTTTTTTTGCTTTTTGGGTCTCACTCGGTGATGCTCAGGGCTGACTCCCAGCTCTGCACTCAGGGATCACTCCTGTCACTCCTGGCTGGTGTTCGGGGAACCCTAGGGGATACCGGGGATCAAATCTGGGTCAGCCATGTGCCAGACCAACACCCTACCTGCTGGACTATTTCTCCAGCCTCTCTCTTTCTTTCTCTCTCTCTTTTTGTCACACCTGGAGACGCACAGGGGTTCCCCCTGGCTCTGCGCTCAGGAATCACTCCTGGTGGTACTCGGGGGACCCTATGGGATCCTGGGGGTCGAACCTGGGGTCCTGGGGGTCGAACCCGGGTCGGCTGTGTGCAAGGAAAATGCCCTCCCCGCTGTGCTATCACTCCAACCCCTGTTTTGTCTTGGGGTGGTGTCTTGGGCATCCTCCTGGCTCTGTGCTCTGGGAGCACTCCTGGCGGGCCTGGGGGACCATATGTGGTGCTGGGGATCGAACCCAGGAAAGCTGTGTGTCAGGCAAGCGCCCTCCCCACTGTGCTATCTCTCCGGCCCTCTTTAAATGTTCTAGAATTGGTTAAAATCTCTATAGAAAGAAACAGTGCCCCCTTTCCGTCGTCTGCCCAGGTCCAGAACTCACGGTCTCCCCCGCAGAGGAACAAGGAGACAGGGGACCCCAGACTGGTGGTCCCCATGGCCCATGTAATGCAGAGCTGCCCGCATCTTCACAGCACATCTGAGGGCGGTCGAGGTATAGGCCTGCCCATAGGTGTGATTGTGACTCTGGATTAGGAGTGCTCGCAAGAGCACGGTCAGCTTCTCTGGAATGAGGAAAAGGGGGAATTCTGGGATGAAGCCTAAAACCCTTGGGGTTCATATCCACCATGTGATGTGAAAGGATTTATCCTAGAGTGAATCTAATCTAAGAAGCCCCTTGAATGCATTTCAGTGTTAAACCTTTGGAGAAAAGGAGCCTCTATCATCGTAAATAAATAATCACTTACTGGACTGATGAAAATACTTGGCCATGCCAACCTGTATTAACCCAAAGACTCTTTTCCTTTTTTTTTCCCCCTTTTTGGGTCACACCCGGGGATGCACAAGGGTTACTCCTGGCTCTGCACTCAGGAATTACCCGTGGCGGTGCTCAGGGAACCATGTGGGATGCTGGGAATCGAACCCCAGTCGGCTGTATGCAAGGCAAACTCCCTACCCGCTGTGCTGTTGCTCCAGCCCCACTCTTTTCCTTCTGGTGATGAAAATTTTCAAATGTGTAAGAGGGAAAGGTTGAGAGGAATGCAGTAATTCTCTCTATCCTGTAACTCCTTTTCAACAATCATAGAATTTACTTCCACCTATTTCTTCTTCCCTCTTTTCCAAAATTCCTTGAAGTACTGCATTAATCTGGAGCGTGTTGCAAATTCTGGATTTTTCCTCACCCATATGTGCTTCGAGCTGTTTTTTTGCTGATGGATTAGACACTTTTTTTGGGGGGGGGGTCCCACCCGGCGATGCTCAGGGCCGACTCCTGGCTCTGCACTCAGGAATCACTCCTGGCGGTGCTCGGGGGACCCTAGGGGATCAAACCCGGGTATTCCGTGTGCAAGACAAATGCCCTCCCTGCTGTGCTATCGCTCCAGCCCCAGGATTAGACACGTTTTAAACGACCACCCTTCGACCCAAATTAATTCTCAACTTAAACCATGGTTTCAGCTGAGCTTATCAAGGACAGGGTGGATGTAGGATTATTTTTAGCTTATTGTAGAATAAGTCTCCATTGGAGACTTTGTTGTTACTGTGTCTGGCATATCGAATACTCTTGGTAGCTTGCCGGGCTCTCCGAGAGGGGCGGAGGAACCGAACTCAGGTCGGCCATGTTGGCCGCTTGTAAGGCAAACGCCCTACCGCTGTGCTATCGCTCCAGCTTTTTGGGTCCCACCCGGCGATGCTCAGGGCTGACTCCTGGCTCTGCACTCAGGAATCCCTCCTGGCGGTGCTCGGGGGACCCTATGGGATGCCGGGGATCGAACCCGGGTCAGCCTCATGCAAGGCAAACACCCTCCCCCCTGTGCTTTCGCTCCGGCCCATGTCCATTTCTTGTTGTCATACTGGAGTCTCCTCAATCTTAACTACCGTCCGCCCCCTACACGCTGGCGGTCATTTCCAACCACTGACCAGTCCTCTTGCTTCCCGGCGCTTTTGGCCTGTTCACCCCGCCTCGATTTTACGGCAGGACCCTGGTTTCCACTGCGTTTCTTAATAGCTGCTTTTGCTAAATTTGCAGACGGCCTGAGCGATGAGAACAGTGACGACCGCGTGTTAAAATGCTGCCTGCAGTACCAGGAGTTATTCCCCTGTTCTCTTGTTGTTCTGTGCACGTGAGTTTCCTGGTCATTTTACGCTTCCTTTAAAAACCAGTAACTTAGGGGGCCAGAGAGCAAGCATAGGGGCTCAGGGCCTTTCCTTGCAGGCAGCCAGGTTCCTTCCCCAGCACCCCTGCCAGGAGTGATCCTTGAACAGAGCGGGCGGTGGGGAGGTGGGGGGAGCCCTGAGCACAGCCGGGTGTGGCTCACAGACCGACGAAAACAAACACTGACTTAAATTCAAGAATTCTTCTGTTTCCTGTTCTGTCCATCTTAGCAAGGATCAGGAAGACACCCATAATTTTCTAGCTCTGCTAGGAAAGCACAGTCTGTTCTTTCTGACATTCTTAAAATAGGTGGCCTGCTGAAGATCGAGTCTTGAAAGAGTGAAATGTTGGATAAAACTGGAGTAAGATGGCGCAAAAAAAACGTACAGAGGAGGGAAAGAATGTTTAGGTTGTGGTGAAAGATTAAGGAACGCCCGCGTCCTCCCGTCCCCCCGCAAAAAAAGGGGAGTGGGGCGTGACAGTGCAGCAGGTGTTTGCATGTGACCAGTCTGGGTTCCATGCCCACTGCCTCATCTGGTCCTCCGAGCACCGCGGGAGTGCTCCCCAAGCCCCGCCAGGAGTGATCCCTGAGCACAGAGCCAGGAGTCAGCCCTGAGCACAGAGCCAGGAGTGAGTCTTGAGCACAGATCTGGGAGTCAGCCCTGAGCACAGAGCCAGGAGTCAGCCCTGAACCCCTGCCAGGAGTGGCCCCAAAACAAAAACAAACTTTCCTGGGTGACTTCTGTGTGCCGAGAATCCCCAGGGTCTGATGCGAACTCAAGGATCTTGAGTTGTCCGCGATTCAGCTTAATCACGCGTCAAAAGTAACGCCTTTTGCTCTTCGCCCCGACCTCAGGGATGATCGAAATCTAAGAAGCAAAGGCCTCATCAGCGGCGTGAAGTCGCTCAGTAAGGAGGAATTGAGTGCCGAGTTCCGCAGCCCGACCCTCAGCGCCGCCACCAGCCAGCCCGGGCTGCCTCAGCCGCCCCCCAAAACGGGTACGCTTCCTTTTCAGCAGAAATCCACCTTTTCCACTAAGATGATCAGCGCCAAAAGGAGTCCTCTGGTTCCGTTAAATATTTAACCGGACTCTATGCTGACGTGTAAATGATAGAAACGAATGAGTTTGGGGCTGGAGCAATAGCACAGCGGGGCGGGCGTTTGCCTTGCACGCGGCCAATCCGGGTTCGATTCCCAGCATCCCATATGGTCCCCCGAGCACCACCAGGAATGATTCCTGAGTACAGAGCCAGGAGTCAGCCCTGAGCATCGCCAGGTGGGACCCTAAAAGCAGAAATAATAATAATAATAATAATAATAATAATAATGTCATGGGACTGGACAGATAGTCCAACAGAGAGGGTATTTGCCTGGCACGTGGCCGACCCAGGTTCGATCCCCGGCATCCCCTAGGGTCCCCCGAGCACCGCCAGGAGTGATTCCTAAAAAAAAAAAAAAGAAACGAATGAGTTTTTTTGGGGTTTTATTGATTGATTGATTTCTTTTGGTTTGGGGGTCCCACCTGGCAGTGCTCGGGTGTTACCTCTGGCTCAGCACTCAGGAGTCACTCCTGGCCGGCTCCGAGACCCTGTGAGGTACCTGAGATTGAACCCTCGTCAGCCGTGTGAAATCAAGCACCTTACCCACTGGCCTATTACTCCAGACCCAGAAATGAATGACTTGTTATCCTGGTAACCCAATGGGAAACACTGGGGGGGTTTTTTAGTTTGTTTTATTTGGTGTTGGTTTTGAAACCACACCCAGTGGTCAGGGCTCACTCCTGGCTCTGCACTCAGGAATCACTCCTGGCGGTGCTCGGAGCAACTTGTGGGATGCCAGGGATCAAACCCGGTCGACTGCATGGAAGGCAAATGCCCTCCCCACTGTACCATCGCCCTACCCCTGTAATTTCTAAATTTTACTGTCTCTCAGTGTCTAAATACTGGTTTTTAATTTATTATTTTTGATTTTGGTTTGGGGTTAACTTTGGCACAGCTTCGGGGGACCGTGGAATGCCACGGATGGAACCCAGGGCCTCCCACCCGCAAAGCAAACCTCCCGACCCTCTTTGAACTGTGTCCTCTAACTTCTGTTTTAAAATAAGTATTGATGGGGCCAGAGAGGCGATACAGCAGGGAGGGCTTTTGCCTTGCATGTGGCCAACCCGGGTTCGATCCCCAGCATCCCATGTGGTCCCCTCCAGGAATGATCCCTGAGCACAGAACCCGGAGTCAGTCCTGAGTGTTGCCGGGTGTAATGGTTTGTTTTCTAGGTAGTTAGAGGCTCTCTTTTTTTTTTAAATCTAGGCGCTAACACCTCAGGTGTTCACTGTTGGTGGCAGGATGCTAGGTAGACTGGAGCCGGATTTCCTACTAGCCTCCAAATGAAAGCGGTTTTTTGTTGTTGTTGTTCTAAGAAACGAAGCCCTCAGAAGGGCGCCCCTTGGAAGATGCCGCAGACTCCGAGCGCATTCGGCTCAGCGAGTTCATGTCTCAGCTGGAAAAGTCTCTCGGCTCAGCCTTGTCGTCGATCCTGGAGACGGAGATGAAGCTTGCCTTCGGAGACCTCTGGGTAGAGGTGAGCGTTCGCCTCTTCTTCCTGCCTCGGGCCATGGGGCGGCGTCTGGGCACTGCTCGGGTCCTTCCTGGCTCTGTGCTTGGGACTAGATGGGGTTCTGGCTCTGTCCCGTGCAAGGCAAGCCCTTAACCCTGTACCCTCTTTCTCTCTGGCTCTGAACATTTCTTTCTTTCTTTCTTTCTTTCTTTCTTTCTTTCTTTCTTTTTTTTTCTGGCTTTTTGAGCCACACCTGGCGATGCTCGGGGCTGACTCCCAGCTCTGCGCTCAGGAATCACTCCTGATGGTGCTCAGGGGACCCTACGGGATGCCGGGGATCAAATCTGGGACTGCCGTGTGCTAGACAAATGCCGTCTGTGGTACTATTGCTCTAACCTCTGAAAATTTCTCTTTTAATGCTAAAAATGTCACCTTAGTATTTTGGGAGCTAGGTCACATCTGCATGCAGTACTCCACGCTCAAACCCGGCAGGGCTCAGGGGACCTTCTGGGATGCTGGGGACCAAACCCGGGCTGGCCATGTGCAAGGCAAGCACCCTCCCTCTAGTCCCCCAAATAATGATGCTGATTTTGGGGAGTGTGGTATGGGCCACATCCGGCGATGCTCAGGGCTGACTCCTGGCTCTGCACTTAGGGATCACTCCTGGAGGTGCTCAGGGGACCCTGTGGGATGCCGGAGATCGAACCCGGGTCAGCTGTGTGCAAGGCAAATGCCCTCCCCACTGTGCTATCACTCTGACCCCTGGCCGGAGGGGGTGTGTGTGTGTGCGTGCGTGCGTGTGTGTGTGTATCTTTTTGGGCCATCCCCGGCAATGCTCAGGGCTGACTCCTGGCTCTGCACTCAGGAATCACTCCTGGTGGTGCTCGGGGGACCCTGTGGGATGCCGGGGATCGAGCCCGGGTGGGCTGTGTGCCAGGCATGCGCCCTCCCCGCTGTGCTGTGGCTCCACCCCAAGTGCTCATTTGGCCCGTGTGCCTTTGCAGGTGCTGTATTTGAAGCCGCCCTGGACCCTGCTACACTTGCTGCAGTGCTTTCGCAAACACTGGCTGGCCGTATTTGGCCTGGCTGTGGAGAAGGGCTTGCTGGCAACCGTTGAGAGTCTCTATGATAACCTCTCTAAAGGTATGTGCTCTCTCTCTCTCTCTTAGTTTTGTTGGTTTGTTGGGGGGCCACGCCCGCCAGTGCTCAGGAGCACGCCTGCTGGGTCTCGGGGACCCCATGCAGTGCCAGGCATCCAGCTAGGCTTGGCCACTCTGCGGCCAGCGCCTTCCGCCCTGCACTCTCTGTCCAGCGGCTGACTCTGGGGGTGCCAGTCTCCTGGCCTTGGCGGGGAGCATGGCTGCCGCCATGACCCAGATTCCTGATTGTTTGTTTTTATTTTGTTTTTTGCTTTTTGGGTCACACCCAGCCAATGCTCAGGGGTTACTCTTGGCTCTGCACTCGGGAATCACTCCTGGCGGTGCTCGGGGGACCCTATGGGATGCTGGGGATCAAACCCGGGTCAGCCACATGCCAAGGCCAACGCCCTCCCCTGCTGTGCTGTTGCTCCAGCCCCAAGATTCCTGATTGTTTGGCAACAGAACGTAGATTCCGTTCAGAGGCTCCGGGGTCAGAAAGAGCGTGCAGTGGCACTTGAGGGTCAGTCCCTGGCCTTAGTGGGGCTGTGAGGAGCGCCCGGAGCCTCTCAGCGGGGCTGACTCTGAGGGGAGCATCCTGGAGTGCCATCATTTTATTGGTTTTTGGTTTTTGTTTTTTGTTTTTCTTTTTGGGTCACACCCAGTGATGCTCAGGGGTTCCTCCTGGTTCTGCACTCAGGAATCACTCCTGGCAGTGCTCGGGGGACCCTATGGAATGGGGATTGAACCCGGGTTAGTTGCATGCAAGGCCAACGCCCTCCCTGCTGTGCTATTACTCCAGCCTCCTTCCCTCTTTATTATTATTGTTGCTGCTATTGTTGTTGTTGTTGTTATTATTATTATTATTGGCTTTTTGGGTCCCACCAAGATGCTTAGGGCTGACTCCTGGCTCTGCACTCAGGGGTCTCTTCTGGTGGTGCTCAGAGGACCCTATGGGATGCCGGGAATCGAACCCAGGTCGGCCATGTGCAAGGCAAACCCCCTCCCCCCTGTGCTATTGCTCCAGCCCTTCAGTTCGTTTTTCTCTCGTGAGGTGTGTCCCCACCTGGCGAAGCCACAGCCTTGGAAGCCTGAGTTTGGAGCCAGTCCCTTTACTCTGGCGCCTTTCATGGCCAGAATGTTCTTTGTTTGTGGCAGCTGTGGAATTGTGATACAAAGTGCTTGTGACTTGGTCCCTAAGTCGCTGGGTGTTTGGTTCAAACACCTCGATTGCCTCGAGCAGGCCCCAGTAATGTCTCCTTTGTCCTAGCCCTGAGATTTTTTAAAAAGTGCCACATTCAAGGCTCTTTCAGGGTTAGGAGAATGAGACCCATCATTGTTACTAGTATTTGACATATTGGGAATGCCACGGGGAGTTTGCCAGACTCTGCCGTGTGGGCAGGTTACATTCGGTAGCCTGCCAGGGTGTCCAAAGTAAGAATGAGATAATAAGATGTCATGGGGCCGCAAATGCGGCTGCGCGCTTCTGGGAGCTGGGTTTTATAATCTCTGGGTCTTGGCCGTTTATGGGATTACACGGTGCCAGGGGGCTAGTTGGTGGGTGTGACCCCTGCCTGTAAGATGGAGGATCTGGGTGGAGGATGCTCAGCCCTGATCTGAGCAGGCTTGGAGATCCCAGCCCTGGGACCCGCACGCCTTTGTTCCTCTGCTGGTACCTTCATGTGTGCGGATAGTGGTCTCAGCATGGTGGTGGCTGGTTCTGGAGGTCTTCGGCTGCCGGGGCTCTGCTCGGGGCGGGGAGGGAAACTCAACCCGCCCCCCTGCAAGTTCAAACACTGACATGATAATCCGGAGTGACACCAATGTGCGCTTCCTGCGTAGACGCTGTTCCTGTCAGTAGGTGTTCTCAAGACACCGGGTAGGCCGCGGGTTCTCACCCTTCCTTCCCTTCCCGTCCCCAGCAAACAGGGCGGTGGATCTGGTGACGGTGAAGTTCCTGCTCCAGGACGCGAAGACCTTGCTCCTGGCCTTCAGCGCGAGGTCCAACTACGACGGGGTTCTCCCACAGGCCTTTGCGCACGTGACTGGGCTCCTCCAGGCCTTCTCGGAGGTGAGGGCTCCTGGGAAAACCCTCTCCAGCCGCCGCCTCAGCAGAGCACGGGCGGGTTAAGGGGCTCCGACCTGCGACTCGGAATTGGCTCTGTCGGGCCGGGAGACGGGTGCCCTCACCCTGCACCCTGGGTGGAGGGTGCTGCTTCTATCCGTGGAGCTCCTGGTCGGACGGCTGCTCCATCTACAGTGCTCCGATGGTGGAGTCTAGCACGCTGTCAGACTTACAAAGGGGCTTGTTTTTGTTTGTGCTTTGAGAGGGGCTATCGCCCAGCAGTGCTCAGGCCTGACTTCTGGCTCTGTGCTCAGGGCGGGACCCTATGGGGTGCTGGGGATTGAACCCAGGTCAACTGCATATGACAAGGCAGATGCCCTCCCTGCTTTGCTCTCTCTCTGGCCCCGTCAAGCAGGGCCCCGAGATTTGCCTGAGCCCCGTGTCAGCGTGGGACTTACCTGCCCACGTGGGCAGATGGTCTCCCAGTGAGAAAGAAACTGTTTTATTTATTTATTATTATTATTATTTTGTTTTCTTGGGTCCCACCTGGGAATGCTCAGGGCTGACTCCTGGCTCTGCACTCAGGAATCCTGGCGGTGCTCGGGGGACCCTGTGGGATGCCGGGGATCGAACCCAGGTTGGCGTGTGCAAGGCAAACACCCTCCCTACTGTGCTATGGCTCCAGCCCCTCACATTATTATTATTTATTATTATTTTTGGGTCCCACTGGCGATGCTCAGGGCTGACTCCTAGCTCTGCACTCAGAAATCACTCCTGGCGGTGCTTGGGGGACCCCATGGGATGCTGGGGATCGAACCCGGGTCGACCACGTGCCAGGCAAACACCCTCCCCGCTGTGCTCTCACTCCAGCCCCTGTTGTTTTATTTTCCTGCCCGGGCTCTGCTATCTTTCTGGGACTAACCAGTCTGGAGACCCGCCAGCCCTTCCAAGAATGGGGGGGCTTTTCCCACCTGCCACGGGCCGTCTCTGACCCAGAACCGGTTCTTCCCCAGGTGAAGGTGAAGGCAGCGGGCACCGGGCAGGGGGGAGCGGCCCGGCAGTCCCGCAGCCAAGAAGTGGCCGCTTGCTCGGCCCCTGCCCTTCCCCCGGCCAGCAGGCATCAGGAGATCTGGTCCGTCCTGGAGAAAGTCTGGACCACCATCTATCAGAGCAGGTACCCTGGGCAGGAGCTGGGTCGGGCTGAAGTGCGGGTGCAAGTCAGAATCCCCCAGAGTCACGTGGGGGTATCTGGGTGCTGCGTCCCCTCCAGGAGGTGGGAGGGGAAGCAGAGGTGATGCTGAACCGGGAGCTGTCCCTTCAGTCGGAGAGAGGGTCCGGACTGCTGCAGGCGCTTGCCCCGGCTCCATCCCGGGAACCACACGGTTCCGCAGACACCACCGAGCATGGCCCAAAGCCACAGAAGCCAACCCCACCCCTCCCTGCTTCTCCAGGTGGATCACTCGTGATTCCAGAATGAGAAGCCTGGCTTAGGTTCCAGCCAGTGACATCACTGAGGGCCTGCAGGGCCACAGGGCACAGTGACGGTCACCTGAGGGGCCACAGGACTCAGGGACGGTCACCTGAGGGGCCAAGGGCACAGGGACGGTCACCGGAGGGGTCACAAGACACAGGGACGGTCACCTGAGAGGCTATAGGACAAAGGCCTTAACCTCAGTCTGGGTTAGGGAAGACAACATCTCTGGTCCTTTTTATTTATTTATTTTTTTGGTAAGGAAGAGCAAAACTAGCATTTTCATAGGTAGACTGCTTTATTTATGTTGCTCTCCTGCACATAGAAATGCCAGGACTTGGTAAAATAGAGCCAGAGAAAGGGTGTGAGCAGGTTTTTAAACAGGCCCCTAGAACAGCTTTCTTTTTTTTTTTTCTTCTTTGCATTTGCTTTTGGTTTGGGACCGCTTCTGGTGTGCGCCAGGAGTCAGTTCTGGCAACGCTCAGTGGCCCGTGTGTGTGTGCTGGGGATTTAAAACAAGGGAAGGCCAGCACTTTCCCCCACCTCCAGTGCTGTCTCCCAGGTCTCTCCCTAAAAGGCGCTTCGAAAGTGTGGAGGATAATTCCTTTGAAAGTAGGCCTTGCTTCTGCCCACTCTTTTTTCCCAAGCCCCTAATCCTCATAGACTTAATTTTAAGCCTCTTACATGGGTTAGACGGTGATTCATTCAGGGTCAGGGGCCCAGAGCAGTTTGTTGTGGATTATAAACCTCTTAGGGACCAGGACGGTGACACCCTGAGTCCAGAGCCAGGAGTGAGCCCTAAGCACCACTGGGTATGGCCCACAAACTGGAAAAAGGGGGGAAAAATGATTTTGTTGGTAATAAATACTTGCATGATAATTCATATTCTATCATTTGATCCTCTAAAAAAAAAACAACTATTCATTGAGCTGGTGAGATAGTACAGCAGGGAGGGTGCTTGCCTTGCATGCTACGATCCCAAGTGTGATCCCCGGGACCCCCTTGGGTCCCCCAGGGCCACCAGGCATGATCCCAGAACACAGAGCACTGCTGGGTGTAGCCCCATAAAGAAATAACCAAACATTGATCTGCATCAAACCTCTTCAGAGAAAGGGGAGTCTTTATCGTGACTCTGCTTGTTCTTTTTCTCCTTATTTTGTTTGTAGTTGACAGACCTGGTGACAGCAGTGTTAACCGTGCGTGGTTTGCCCTCCCACCTATCTGCCAGAGACCCTCCACATCAGTCCTGACATCACTTCCTGTCTGCCTCTGGCCTCTTTTCCTTCCCACCTCCTGGTGTCAGAGGCCAGGAGTTTGCTATCGTTCGATGCTCTCCGTCCCCTGCTCGCCTTAGTTCTTCAGACACTGTGGTTGACGGTGTTGCTCATGATAAAGTTGTCACAGGCACTCAGTGTTCAACCCCAACCCCACAACCCCCGTCCACCTCCTTCTACCATTGTCCCCATTTTCCCAACCGCCTCTTCAGCCTGCCTCCGTCGCGGGCCCACAAGACTTGATCTTACAGTTCGCCCCTCTCAGTGGCTCACGAAAGGATCCAAAAAGTATTTCAGCCAAAGAAAGCTTGTGAAAATTGCCGTTATCTGCCAAAGGGACATGCAGCCCTGCTCAGAGGGTTTACTGCACGGTTGTTGCAAGCGAAGCCTTCCGTGTTCATGTTTTTGTCCGTCGAGATGAGTTGGCTTCTAGGTTTGTTATCTTCCCATCCAAAAGGTGTGCTCCTGCGTGCCATGTTATGTTAGTATCGGAGAGCTGAGAGAGGGTACGCGGCCGCAAATGTGACCACATGCTCCAGAATTGTTTAACTGCAGAAAGTCCAGAATATTTAACTGTGCGGCCGACCCGGGGCATGGCGGTGGCTGTTGGGGTGTAGGTGTGCCTGGGGGCTTCGGTAGGGTGGGAGCTGGCCCGCCCCCTCCTGAGATCACCCTTGAAGTGGTCTCAGCTGGGTCCAGGCATCTGAAAATCGTTTGCAGCCAATTATCTCTTTCTCAAGTTCTTTTTTTTTTCATTTTGGGTCACACCCGGCGATGCACAGGGGTTCCTCCTGGCTCTGCACTCAGGAGTTACTCCTGGCGGTGCTCAGGGGACCAGATGGGATGCTGGGAATTGAAGCCTGGGTTGGCAGCATGCAAGGCAAGCACCCTCTCCACTGTGCTATCGCTCCAGCCCCTCAAGTTCTTAAAGAAAGAAGGCTGCGTGCATTACACAAGGGAGGTGTAGAACTTGCCAAATAGATGCCAGCTGGCCCTCATTTTTTTTTTTTTTTTCGCTTTTTGGGTCCCATCCGGCGATGCTCAGGGCTGACTCCTGGCTCTGCACTCAGGAGTTACTCCTGGCGGTGCTCAGGGGACCATATGGGATGCTGGGACTCGAACCTGGGTTGGCCACATGCAAGGCAAACACCCTCCCTGCTGTGCTATCTCTGCAGTCCCGTGACCCTCTTTTCTAGCTTCTCCTGGGTGCCCTGGTATCAGCGTCCTTGACATTCCGAGGGTCTGTGTATAAATCCCCACCTGTTCCTCTTGTGACTGGCCCGGGGGCACACTTCTGTGCTTGCTTTCAGTTCGGACACCAAGGGGAGGACAGTTCATTGGTCCAGTTCACTGACGAGCCGGACAGTCCCTAAGTGACTGTCTCTTACTACCAGGCTAGTGGCCAGGCATGGCGAGAGGAATCCAAGACGCTCTCTGGCGTGCTGGGCATGAGGCGCGTGAACCAGAGAGGATCTCTCGTGGGCTCACCCAGATGCCTTCTCTGTTTCAGCACAGAAGTGTTCCAGGCCTTGGGCTCAGACGCACCTCCCGTGTCATCAAAAATAGCATCCTTGGAAGAGGCGTTTCTCTCTCTCCAGAAGTTAATGGCCGCCGCCAAGGACATTCTTGAGGGAATCCAGAGGTAAAACGGAGTCCGATGGCGTGTCCCCCGCCTTCCTTCCCTCTGGTTTCTCTGCCCCAGCAAGTTTCAGAAACGAGTGTGATTTGTATCCCTACCTCTTTCTCTTCTGCGCCAAGACACAGCAGGCTGCGAGTTTTGTGAGAAATCTTCCTTCCTTCCTTCCTTCCTTCCTTCCTTCCTTCCTTCCTTTCTTTCTTTCTTTTTGGGTCACACCTGGCGATGCTGGGGGTTCCTCCTGGCTCTGCACTCAGGAATCACTCCTGGCGGGGCTCGGGGGACCCTATGGGATGCCGGGAACCCAACCCAGGTCGGCCGTGTGCCAGGCAAACACCCTCCCCACTGTGCTATCACTCCAGCCCTGTTCTTTTCTTTCTTTTCCTTATTTTCTTTTCTGTTTGGTTTTGCTTTTGGTCACACAATACCGTGGTCCAGGCTGACTCCTGGCTCTACACTCAGGAATTACTCCTGGCAGTGCTCGGGGCATCCTTTGGGCGAGGCAAACAAACGCCCTCCCCTCCAAGCTTTCTCTCCGGCCTTTATTTCCATGTTTTATATAACTATACATCCCTTGAGAAGAGCAGGGATCGGTAATCCCTGCTCTTCTCAAACAAGCAGATGCTGTTATTTGGCAACAAGCTTGATTTCCTCCAAACTGAAAAGATGTTGAGAAATCACGTCATTTAATCCTTGGATTATTTTGTCTGTGTGTTTGGTGCACAAGAGTCCCTCTTGGCCCTACGCTCCGGGATCACTCCTGGCGGGGCTCGGGGGACCATATGGGGTAGGACCTGGGTTGGCCGCGTTCAGGGCAGATGCCCTCCTTGCTGTCCTTTGGCTCCGGCTTGGTCTCGACCCTTTGAGAATTACACCTCTGTGATTAAATGTTCAGAGTGCCAGAAACTTACCAACCTGGCATGATTACAACATGAAGACAGATTATAAGTTTGTGTGTCACCCTCAACAAGGGCCGATTCTACGTGGAGCCTTGCAGGAGTTTTTATTGTTTTGTTTTACATATATATATATTAATCTATACCAAAATTGCTTGAATGAGAGAATGATTTTGGTGACTGAAGAATACTGTGGGGTTTGCGTAAGGAGCCAGTCCTGAACCAGATCCAGAGCACAGATCCCCAGAGTGATCCCTGAGCACCTCTGGGTGTGACCTCCCGCCCCCCCCCCCCCCCCCTCCAGGCCCCAGGGCCTGAGAGATCCCATGGAAGCCTCCATCCCCAGCGCACTGCCAGGGTGACCCTGAGCCCAGAGTGTGACTCCAAAACACACGAAAGTAGCTGAAGGGGCTGGAGCGATAGCACAGCAGGGAGGGCGTTGGCCTGACACGCGAACGACCCGGGTTCGGTCCCCAGCATCCCATAGAGTCCCTGGAGCGCCTCCAGGAGTAATTCCTGAGTGCATCGCTGGGTGGCACCCAAAAAGAAAAAAAAAAAAAGAAGAAAAGAGTGAGCTGCCCAAGGGCCGCCACTGGAGGGCACTGTGACTCCCCGATGACTGGCCCCAGCCAAGAAAAGTCCCAAGAGCATTTTTTTGCTGTTTGATCTTGACCTTTGGGTCAACACGCACCGGGCGTACATGGAACCTTAAACAGAATCAGGGCCAGAGCGCACCAGACAAAAACCCGGAATGGGGCCGGGTATGTTTCTTTCGAGTTCCATGTGTATGGGTACGTGTTGATTCTGTTTTCCTTCTTGATTTTTTTTTCAGCCACACTTGGCGGTGCTCAGGGCTTACCGCTGTCTCGCTTCTTAACACCCTGTGGGGTGCTGGGGATTGAACCCTTGTCAGCCATGTGCAGGGCAAATGCCCTCCCTGGCCATCTCTGATTCTGTCATCAGTGAGGGGGAAGTGCAGCATTCACTGGGCCCGAGAGACAGAACAGAGATTAAAGTGCTTGTCTTGCACACAGCTGACCCAGGTTTGATCCCCACCCCCCACCTCATACGGGGCCCCCAAGCACCTCCAGGAATGAGCCCTGAGCACTGCTGGATGTAACCCCAAAACCAAAAAATTAAAGACAACTAATATTTCCGCTTATGTAATTTCTAGGCTCTTTCTCATGTTTTCCTTTGAGTTATTCTCAGCTCAGTGATCCCCCTCCCCCCAAAAAAAATGGTGGGGGGAGAAGTTTTGGGATCTGCTTTATCTGGGTGAGCGCAGAGGACCTCCTGTTAAGTGTAGTACATGCGTAGTATAAACATTGTACATGTAAATTTCTTCCCACCCTCTCAAAAACTATTTTAAATATTCCATTAACGTTCAACATTGCCAGCAGAGAACATAACTTATTTGCTTTTGTGCCATGTGATTTACGATTTAGAGATACTGAAGAACATGCTTTTTCTCCTGAATCCCTAGAATTTGGTATTAAACTTGAATAGTCTAGATTTCTTAAGCAATTCTGGAATCTGCTGCCTTATTGTCCCTAAATTGGAGAAAAGTTTTGAGTTTTTTAAAAATCTTTTTTTGGGGGATGGGGGTTGGTATTATTCTGGGCTTGATATTTGGATCAACTCCCTTCAGAACTCAGGGGCCCATATGCAGTGCTGAAGATCAGACCCAGGCCCCCATCCACGCAAAGCCTGTGAATCTCTCTGTGGAACTCTCTCTCTCTCTGGACCCTCAGTTTTTTTTTCTCCTTTTGAATTTTTTTGGGTCACACTCGTCTGTGCTCAGGGCTGACTCCTGGCTCTGTGCTCAGGCTCTCCCACTGGGGCTCAGGGGACCCTATGACATGCCGAAGATTGAAGCCAGTTGGGCCGTGTGCAAGGCAAGTGTCCTCCCTGCTGTCCGATCGCTCCAGCTGTATGAGCACAGTTTTTTTTTTTAATATTAAACTTGTAAATGAGTCCGGGCTGGAGCGATAGCACAGCGGGTAGGGCATTCGCCTTACAAGCGGCCAACATGGCCGACCCGAGTTCGATTCCTCCGCCCCTCTCGGAGAGCCCGGCAAGCTACCGAGAGTATTCGATATGCCAGACACAGTAACAACAAAGTCTCCAATGGAGACGTTACTGGGCCCGCTCGAGCAAATCGACGATCAACGGGAGGGCCTTTACCTTTTTACCTTTAAATGAGTCCATTTTAAAGTATTGCTTGTTCTTTAATTTTTGATTAATCTTAACCCATGTCTTTTTTTTTTTTAAATAAGGAATTTGATTTAGGGGCCCGTAGCAATAGTGTAGCGGGTAGGGTGTTTGCCTTGCATGCGGCTGACCCGGGTTCGCATCCCATACGGTCCCCCAAGCACCGCCAGGAGTAATTCCTGAGTGCAGAGCCAGGAGTCGGCCCCTGAGCATCGCCGGGTGGAACCCAAAAAAGAAAAAAAAAAATTGATAGAGCATGCCTTTTTTTTTGCCTCCCTGGACAAGAAAGATTGCTAACTAACATTGAATGGGATGAAGAAAGGTGGGAAATGTAACCCCTCATCTGCGGCTTTGAGAGAAAGCTGTACCCATGAGAATGAAAACTTTCCTGCTGACATAGAAAATCCTTCAGCTGAGGCCGAACGGACGGGAGCTGGGGATCAAGGCCGGCTGAGCCATGCTCACTCCCCCAGTGCTCTCTCTGGCCCTTCTTTCATTCTTGCCGAAGAAGTTCATTCCCTTATTTTCATCTAGAACAGCAGGATGGTGGTAGCCGGCCTCTTGCCAGTGGGGAAGACACACACTCAGCCCTTCTCGTGGCCCAGAAGGGCCCTGGGCACTTGGGCCATCTCTAACCTCCGTGATGTTACTTCCCACGTCTGGTCACCCTCGATTTCTGCGTTTGAAAACGAGTTACGGGGCTGGAGCGATAGCACAGCGGGTAGGGCGTTTGCCTTGCAAGTGGCCAACCTGGCCGACCCGAGTTCGACTCCTCCACCCCTCTCGGAGAGCCCGGCAAGCTACCGAGAGTATTTCGCCTGCACGGCAGAGCCTGGCAAGCTCCCCGTGACGTCTTCGATATGCCAAACACAGTAACAACAAGTCTCACCGTGGAGATGTTACTGGGCCCGCTCGAGCAAATCGATGAACAACGGGAGGACAGTGACAGTGACATTGTATGTAAAGAAATAGGACAAATGAACTAAATAAAAAAACAAATAACTAAGAAAAAAGAAGAAAAAAGAAAACGAGTTACGATAACTGCAGATATTACTGATGTCACCTCTAGCCCGAGGCTCAATACTTACAGCATCTTAGTGGGCTCAGAATCAGTTGGAGCTTTCTCCTTATTCAGAGTTGTAGAACTGAGGGCGCAGTAAGGCCAACTGGAGGCTGTCACGTAACTCAGTTTGGGGTGCTGAGCAGATGCAGATACTTCATGTAACAGCATCAGGCTCTGGGTGTTCATGGAAACATTTTGCGTTGTGGGTTTTTATTTTATTTATTTGCTTCTTGGGTCACACCCGGCAATGCTCAGGAGTTACTCCTGGTTCATGCACTCGGGAATTACTCCTGGCGGTGCTCAGGGGACCCTATGGGATGCTGGGAATCGAACCCAGGTCGACCGCGTGCAAGGCAAACGCCCTACCTGCTGTGCTATCACTACTGCCCCAAGTTTTGTTGTTTTTGTTTGTTTGTTTGTTTTTTAGGGGGAGGGATCCACACCTGGTGGCGCTTAGGGCTTACACCTGACTCTGCACTCGGGAATTACTCCTGGCAGTGCTCGGGGGACCATTTAGGATGCTGAGGCTTGAACCCGGGTCGACCGTGTATAAGGCGAACACCCTCCCTGCTGGACTGTCACTCCGGCCTGCAGTTTGCCTTATGATTGGTGCTGGTAGGAAAAAAAAAAAAGTTCAGATCCAACTTGATTTTTAAATACACCATGGCCGGCAAATGAAGTCCTGTTCACACCTTCTGTTCCCCGATTCTGATCCCAAAATTTTCCTGAGGGAAGATTTTGTCAAACAGAGAAACACCCATCTTAAAGCCCCCCCCCCTGCCCCCCGGGTTTTTTGTTTGTTTGTTTTGCTTTTTGGGTCACACCTGGCAATGCACAGGGGTTATTCTTGGCTCAGGCACTCAGGAATTACTCCTGGCAGTGCTCGGGGGACCCTATGGGATGCTGGGAATCGAACCCAGGTTGGTCGCCTGCAAGGCAAACGCCCTACCCGTTGTGCTATTGCTTCAGCCCCAAAGCCTGCCCACCCACCCCCGCCCTCCCGGTTTAAACGGATGATCTTTTTCGCATTTGATCAATCGGTGATCGTCCAGCCGTCTCTCTCGGAAGGACAAGCATGGAGAGAGACATTTGGCCGTTTGGAAACAGCTGTTTTGGGGAGTCGCGGTTTGCGGCTTCTGAGAGCTGATTGGTTCACTGTGTCACGCTTCCAAGAAGTCCCGCAGAAGGACGGTGGTCACCCGGCCCCTTCTGACGGCCTTTTGTCCCTCTCCGAGTGAAAGGGAGGAGGGAGAGAGAAAGCTGACCTCTCCGGAATTTCTGTGTGGGGAAGGGCCGGGGCACGCAAGGCCTTAAATCATCTCTGCGCGTTCTTTCCCCAGAGGTCAGCCTTGTGACTGAGAGCTTGCGACGCTTTTCTCCCAGGCCAAAGGCCTCTCTTGGCCTCTGTAGGGTGTGAGTCCGGCTCACTTCAACCCGTAGCATACGTCTCTCGTCCCCGTGTTCTCGCCTATGGGGCCTCGCAACTTAACCCCCATCTCCAGGCGCTTCCAACCTTCATTCCTTCCTGTGACTACCCCCCACCCAGTTCATGCATAGCTCTCTCATTTATGCTATTTCACTGGGAGCCCCGTAAAGTATTCTGGGGGCCCCAGGGGACTCTACGGCTCCCAGTTGACAAAGGTTACTGTAGTCTACCCAGGCTGCCAGTAGTATTGAATATCCTGTAGAATGAACAATTCTTTAGAAGTCGCACGTGTGGGGGGCTGGAGTGATAGCACTGGCCTTCCTTGTGGCCAAGCCGGGTTCGATCCTCAGCACCTCAGATGGTTCCCCAAGCCCTGCCAGCAGCGATCCAGGAGCACAGAGCCCTGAGTACCTTGGGGTAGGGCCCCCAAACCAAAAGGGATAGTAAGGATGGTGGTGGCGAAGGTACAGTGACTTTATGCATCAAAGTGATAAATTTGGATACTGTTAGAACTCTCTTAACCAAAGTGCAATGAAAGGTTTAAATTTCATTTCTTTGCCTTGCACGCGGCTGACCTGTTTTGGCTCCCTGGCATCCCCTGAGCACTGCCAGTTTGGCCCCCAAACAAAACAATTTCAAAAATAAAAAAATAGGGGCCGGAGCAATAGCATAGCAGGTAGGGCGTTTGCCTTGCACGCAGCTGACCCGGGTTCGATCCCCGGCATCCCATAGGGTCCCCCGAGCACCGCCAGGAGTGATTCCTGAGTGCAGAGCCAGAATCGCTGGGTGTGACCCAAAAAGAAAAAGAAAAATAAATTAAAAAGTAGAATTGACTAGGATGGGGGGATTGGAATTCTGTGTCGTCTAATTCTGGTGGTAATAGCAGGTAGCTGAGTAAACCTTTGTTCACGTGTTATTCTCTCTATGGATCTGCCTCGTGCGTGTTTACCTTTGGAATGAGCAGTTGTTTTCATAGAAACAAAATCCCTGGGGCTCACCCAAAGGACTAATGTCTAAACTCGTTTCCAAGAAGCAAAGGAGGAGGAAGAGGGGGGGAGGGGGAGGGGGAGGAGTCACTGAAAGGGAGAATGAGCCGAGGATTCTCCCTCCTTCCTTCTCTCCTGGGTCTGCTCAGGCGCTTGTTGGCCGTGGGCCTGCCCCAGGCCTGGTCACTTGCTGCTTGCCCTGGGCCTTAGGACTGACCGGGATGCACTCAGGGGCCCGATGGCGCCTGGCTTGTGGCGGACGTCAGTGTGTGGAGGAGAAGAGGAGGGGGTTCGAGTCCATCAGAGTGTATCTGGGCAGGAATCTTTCCCCCACCAGCCCCCTAAGTCTTGGCCCTTCCCCCCTGCCCGACATGGTTGTAATGTACTGTGGATCATTGTTACCTGGGGGTAGAAATGGTCCTTTTTTTCCCCTTTTTAAAAAAATTTGTTTTAGGGGCTGGAGAGATTGCACAGCGGGTAGGGCGTTTGCCTTGCACGCGGCCGACCGGGTTCAATTCCCAGCATCCAATAGGGTTCCCCGAGCACTGCCAGGAGTAATTCCTGAGTGTAGAGCCAGGAGTTAACCCCTGTGCATCACAGGTGTGATCCAAAAAAGTGAAAAAAAAAATTTGTTTTAAATATTCAGCTAAATGGAAACGTTGGGTGATATCATGCTTATTTCTTGTCTTCTTGCTATTTTTTTTGTTTGTTTGAATGATTTGGTTGGGGACCACCACACCCAGTGCGTTTCTGGGGCTGACTCCTGGCTCTGCACTTAGGGGTCACTCCTGGCGGGGCTCAGGGAGCCTACGGGATGCCGGGGATCGAACTTAGGTCAGCACGCTCAAGGCAATCGCCTTCTCCCCTGATCTGTCTCTCTGGCCCCAACAGGTGCTATTATTATTCTGAGTGACTAATACACCTAATTCTGGTTTTTGGCTGGTGGTTTTTCCTGCAGAATAGTTCAGGGTAGAGAAAAGCTGTCCTGTTCTCTAGTGATGTACTTCCTGTCAGGTCCTGAGACTTTCCTCGTGTTTCTTTCTGTTTGCTCCAGCCCAAGTCCGAATTACTCTTAATTTAAAACACGAAGTTCAGTTTCACCTCAGAATGCTGTGCTCGTTTTTTGGTTGATATAGTATCAACTTGAATAGGCAGCATTACTTTCATGAATTATGCTCTTTTGAACTTACACTGAATTAAAATTAGTTTTATCCTTCTTAAAAAAAAATAGAGTGTAGACATTTTCACGCACTTAGGAGACTACAAATTCTGTTTTTTTTGTCTTTGGGTCCCACCCGGCGATGCTCAGGGGTTGCTCCCGGCTCTGCACTCAGGGATCACTCCTGGCGGTGCTCGGGGGACCCTAAGGGATGCCAGGGATCGAACCCGGGTCGGCCACATGCAGGGCAAACGCCCTCCACTCTGGGCTATCGCTCCTGATCCAAAACAGCAACTTCTCTTTCTTAGCATGAAGATGGTTGGGGCCGGGGGGAGGGAGGGGAAAATCAACATTTTTCACTCCCCCCCCCTCAGTTCTTCATTCAATTTTTGTTTCTTTTCAGGATTTTGGCCCCCAACAGCAGTTACCAAGATATTGAGCCCCTCTACAGCTCCCTGGTCAAGTATGAGGTGAGAGAGAAGCGCCCTGCAGCCTTGACCGTGCCCTGGCCAAGGCACCCTCCAAGCCTGGGGGCGGGTGCTGCAGGGAAACTGAGTGACCATAGCTGGAGGCAGCGGGGAGCACGCTGGCACCCTGTAGAGACCCCCTGGCCCCTCCAGGAGTGAGCCCTGAGCACAGAACCAGGAGTGAGCCCTGAGCACAGAGCCTGGAGTCAGTCTGAGCATAGAGCCAGGAGTCAGCCCTGAGCATCACTGGGTGGGATTCCCCCACTCTCCCCCCCAAAAAAAAAGCAGCATTTGTCTTTGTGATCCTGGATTCAGAGTGTGAGGTTCGGCTTAGAAATAACATCCAGCACTTCCTGAAGCTCCAGGGATCGAACCCTGGGCCTCACTCACGTGAGGCACGTACCGTACCACTGAGCCACACAGCCCCAGTCCAGGGATTTGGATTTCTCAGTGTGATGTCAAGTGTCCTGACGAATACTCAAATGGTCTTGAGTCCGAGCCCGTGTCCGCCTAAGAGACGTTTCTGACTAGAACCGGCCGTCTGTGGCCAGCTCCTGGGGCTGCCTGGATTCTCAGCAGGTCACCTGCTTGGCCATGGCCGTGGCCTCACACGCCATCTGCGACCCAGGTCAGGTGTCTGCATAGATGGGGGTGGCTTTCAGACCCCGGAAGTAGCTGGACACGGGCATTGAGCCACGGTCCCCACTGCCCCTGGAGCCCGGGGTGGTCAGTGTCTCACGGAGCCGCCCTGCAGTGTGTCCCTGTGCCGGCCGTGTCCCGGCAGCCCAGACTGGCCCCTCGGTGACCGCGGCCTGCTTCCCTGCAGGTCAACGCACACATCAGGTTCACCGCCCGGGAGCTTTACGACTGTGTGTCGCTGGCCGAGTACCGGTAAGTGGCATGGCTGCCCTGTGGGAGGAGAGGGGAGGGTGTCTGGGTCCCAGCATCAGCTGCTGTTCCCTCTGGTTGGGTGATTGTCAGGAAGCCTCAGGGTCAAGAAAGAACTTTCTAGCAGTCACGAGACATGAGACTAGGCTGCCGAGGCCTGCCAGGTGAGCGGAACTCACAGGGTGTTGCCGGGGGCTGCAGGGGAACCCGGTGGAAGGTTCCGGATCCTCGCCTCGGGCGGCAGCCAGCACCAAGCCCAGAAACAGACTCAGAGGCTGGGGAGCAGCAGGGACCGCGTCTGCCCTGCCCTTTGCGCTGGTTCCCTTCCTGGGGCTCAGTTTTCGGGCCACTCCTGACCCCGTTCAGGGACCGCCCCTGGGCAGGCTCAGAGAGCCGTGTGGTGCCTGGGTTCTAACTTGGGTCTGCAGTGGGCACGACAAGCGCCCTGCTGGAGAAGTCTCTTGGGCCCGCTTGGCCCTGTTCAGCGACAGCGCTGTCCAGCCCTACGAGGTTGGCGCTCGGGTCTCTGCTGGTATTTTCTGGGCAGCTGGGGGAGAAGGCGGGAGTGGACCCCCATGGGCCCCCACGGTGACGGCAGGGTGACCTGCTGGGTGCCCAAGTCCTGGAAGGGTTAGCGGGCCCTGGGTTAGAGGCAGTGTGGGTCGCCGGGACCCCTAGGCCCCTAACACACCTTTCCTCGGGCCCAGGGAGAAGCTGGCCATCGGCTGTGGGCAGCTGGAGGAGCTGGAGGGCGCCATGCGGCAGTGCCACGCCCACGTCTGCCTGGGGGCCCGGCCACCGCCCACGACTTAGCGCCTCCCGGGGAACGCCGCCACGGCGGTGGCACTGGCAAGTCACCTTGGGCAGCCACGTGGGCTTGTCCTGGTGTCTGGGGGCGCGCGGCGCTGCTGGGCAGGCGGGGGCCCTGGTCAGGACAGCACCGGGCAGGCACCATCAGCCAGGGTGTCGCAGCGGAGACACGAGGCCGCGCCCGGCCCGGGAGAGAGCGAGGCCATCACCCGGCGGCAGGGGCGGGGACCCTCCTGCGCAGGTCCAGGCTTTCTGTTAGAATGTTCATCTATTTTTCTAAACAATAAAGAGTTTATTTTCAGTGGGGTTTTTGCTTTCCTTGGCACGGCCAGAGCCGCTCGGGTGGGCCCCCAGCAGGGTAGGGCACAGGGAAGCTTCCAGAACCTCCGAGGGCTGCTCCTTCCCCCCACGGGCTCCCTCAGTGGGGCTGTGGCTGTGGTCACTTCCAGGAGCCTGGGGCTGCCCTAGGCCTGCCCAGCTCCCTTTTCTGATCAGAGCCCCGCGAGGGGGGACGGTCCTCCTCCTCGCGCCCCCCAGACCCAATGCCCGGCCGACGTGACAGACAAGCACCAGGGCGGGTTTGGTCGGCAAGTTGGCTCCCTTTTAATAAAAACAAAAATATCATCTAGTTAAATAAGTTTGTTAGCAAGTTCCAGTTCGTGCCGAGGGGCCCCGAGGAAGCCCACGGGCCTCCGCCCGGCCCCACACACACTCGAGGGGGCCGCCAGGCGCCAACCTCGGGCTTCATCCCCCCCATGCCAACTTCTCCACACCAAGTAACCAACGGAATCCTACAAAGACACGAGCCCCTCGTCCGCACGGCTCCCCCGAAACAGAAAATATGTACAGCGCCTTGGCCGAGCCCCACGCCAGGCGGCCGCCCCCTCCGGGCCCCGCTAGAGCGGCCCGGGCCTGCCGTAGGGGCTCCACTCGTTGGCGTCGGGCCGGTACACCTCCACCGTGCTCAGGAACTCGTTGCCGTCGAAGCCGCCCACGGCGAAGATGGTGCCGCCCACGGTGGCCATGCCCGCGTTGCTGCGGGGACACGTCATGGCGCCCACCAGCTTCCACTCGTTGCGCGCCGGGTCGTACATCTCCACGCAGCTGATGGCGTGCGACCCGTCAAAGCCGCCGCCGACGAACAGCTTGCCTGGGAAGACACAGGGTGGGGTCAGCGGAGAGCCTGGAAACCATCCCGTCCACCTCAGCCCCCGGCGCTCGGTCAGGAAGGACCATTTAAGTGCCAGCCCCCGTGACCAGGGAAGGAAGAGTCGCCAGCCGGCGAGACGCCAGTCCCACAGCGAGCCCAGAGGATCTCTCCCTGGAGTCTGTGCCGATCGAGCGGCAGCACAGTGGGGAGTGCGTTGGCCTTCATGGGCAGCCCACGCGGGTTCCATCCCCACACGGTCCTCCGAACCCCGCCGGGAGTGACCCCCGAGCACCGAGCCAGGTGTGGCACCCTCCGAAACCCACAGGAGCGACCAGCGCCAGCAGAGTGCAGCGAAGACAGAGATGAAGAGCAGGGACAGGGGCAGCTCCCCCAGGAATGCAAACAGCGAAAGACAGACAGACAGACAGACGTCCACATGCACGCCTGGACAGCCCGGAAACGGCCCCAGCCGGACAGGAGCAAGCATTCAGCTGCAGACGCCAAGAGGGAATAGTCCATGAAGGCTGGGAAGGGAACGCAGAATACTAAGACTGCAGATGGAATACGAGTGCATCGGTATGTGCCAGTTTCCCTTATAACTTGAGCGAAGGAAGAAAGCGGAGAGGCTAGACGGAAGAGAGACGGAGAAGAACAGCACAGTAGCTGCAAGGAGAGCTCGGGTGCGATTCCCTACGACTGACGTCAATTTGGAGGGTGAACAGAATGACATAAATCCATACAAAAAGCTGTGGTGAGAAAATATCTTCGCGAACTAATATAGCAAAGTAAAAAAATGGAGCAGAGGAACCAAATATGAGAAATGGAGAGGAACTCGAAATTACAACGTTTGGGTTCCAGGAAGAAAAGTATTGGAGAATGCTTTTTGGTTAATTTCCATATTCAAAAAATATGTACCGGATGACCCTGAACAAGGCTTTCTTTTTTGCCTGTTTGGGGCCACGCCCAGCTGTGCTCCAGGCTTACTTCTGGCTCGGTGGCGCTCAGGGACCCACATGCAGTGCCAGAGGTCACTCTGGTTTGGTGCGAGGCGGGCACTTCCCCACTCTATTTATGTGCCCCACAAATTGTGTTTTACGCTTAATCTTTCGATCTTTGTAGAATGCCCAAATAGTATTTGTGTGAACATATATCAGTGATGTTTTCTGTGGATTCCAAGTCTTTTCTAAACAAAAGCGAATCAAATTAAATGCAATGATTGGGGCACAGCGGGGAGGGTGTTTGTCTTGCACGCGGCCAACCCGGGTTCGATTCCCAGCGTCCCTTAGGGTCCCCCAAGCACCGCCAGGGGTGATTCCCGAGCGCATGAGCCAGGAATCAGCCCTGAGCATCACGGGGCATGACCCTAAAAGCAAAAGCAAAAAAAAAAAAAAGCAATGATCGTTAAAGGAAATGTTGAGGTAGTGGAGTTACAAGTTTTTAAGTTACAAAATAAAACCTCTTTAAGAATCCCACCTTTGGCTACACAAGTGGCATCGAACTGGGGGAGGGGTCAGAATAAGTGAAATGAGTCAGAGAAAGGAAGACAGACGCCAGCGCTGCCAATCACACCAGTAGCAGACAAGGCCGGGGGTGGCAAGTGGACCCAGGGCCAGCGGCAGAGCAGCTGAGCTCTCCTGCTGGAGGAGCCTCGGGGGCGGGCCCGCGGTGCTCAATGCTGGTGGGGTTGGGAGACTCTCATCCGGAACCTGGGCCCGTCATGTGCCAGGCAAGTGCCCGCCTGCGGCCTGGGGCCTGGAGCCCGTGGGGTGGGCAGAACCAACGCTACTGTGAAAGTAAGTTGGAGTTCGGGGCCGAGGCTTAGGAAGCAGCTTCTAGCTCCCGTCAGGGCCACCAATCTGGACTCCAGCCGACTTGCAGCCCCAGACGAGTGCGATTCGGGTCAAGCACCCAGAAAGGGCTCGACCTGCTTCCAAGACTTTCCAGGGTGGCAGGTGGGGCCTCGTGTGGTCCCTGCACCTGGGCGCAGCCCCAAGGCTCCCAGCACTGCGTCCTCGGGCCCTTGCCCCGAGCTCAGCTGGGAGGCCGAGATGGCCGGGGACACCCCCGTGCCCTGCTGAAGGCCCCAGAGAATCGGGTTCCCCTTTCTGACGCCCAGAGCGTCCATCCCTGCCCGTCTCCGGGCCCCACTCACCATCCAGTACGGCCACCCCTGCCCCGCGCCGGGCCACGTTCATGGGCGCGATGAGTGTCCAGGTGTTGTTCTCCGGGTTGTAGCGCTCAGCTGTGTTCAGGCAGTTCCAGGACTCGGCACCTCCGACGATGTACAAGTAGCCGCCGAGCTCGCACACGGCGGCCTGGTGACGGCCTGGACACGCGCGGGGGGATGTCAGTGGCCCAGTGACCCTCTGCACCGCCCAGCCGCCCGCCCGCCGCCCACGGGGACATACGGATGTTGAGGGGCGCGCAGCTGGTCCACGACTTGGTCACGGGGTCAAACACGTCGCAGTTCTTCAGGCCCTTCTGCCCGTACGGGTCCGAGCCCCCGACGATGTACAGCTTTCCACCCAGAGCACACACGCCTGCCAACAGACGGAGGAGCGGTCGGCCGGGCCGGGCCGGGCCGGGCAGGGCCGTCGTGGGGGACAAGGGCTCGTACCTGCGTTACAACGGTTGGTCCGCAGCTCGGGGACGGGGATCCAGTCGTCGGCGCCGGGGTCGTACATCTCACCGCAGCTCAGGTCGTCCGAGTGGCCATTCGAGCCCCCAACCACGTACAGCTGGCCCTGGGCGGGGGGGACAGGAAGGGCCGAGGGGTGAGTGCCGGGGTGAGGGGCCCTGGCCCCGGGCAGGGACACCCCCGAGCTCACCATGAGGACGGCCATCTGGAAGCGGGCGCGGGGGGTCCTCATGGGGGCCAGGAAGGCCCAGCGGTCCGCGTGCGGGTCGTAGCACTCCACAGTCCGTAGACACTCCTCTCGGTTGTAGCCGCCTGCGGGGGCAGAGACCAGCTGACGCTCACCCGCGCCAGCCGCGGGGCCCAGGGTCCACCCAGGCGCTGGCCGAGGGCTCGCCCGCCACGCCCCACCCCGCGCCCGGCCCCCGCCCGGCCCTACCTGCCGCGATCAGCCTCCCGTTCAGCTCGGCCGTGCCCAGCCCCGAGCGCGCGTACTGCATGGGCGCCATGGGCTTCTCCAGCTCGCCGGGCTGCAGCTCGAAGCTCAGGCTCTTCGCGAGCTTGGGGGTCCCGGTGGGCGAGCTCTGGGGGCTGTTCCGCCCATGAAGGAAGATCACGCAGAAGACGCCGTCCAGCACCGCCAGGCACAGGTACGTGTTGTCTGCAGGGGCAGAGGGCGGCTGAGCCTCGGCCGGGGGCTCGTGGCGTGCTCGCCGGCCTGCGTCCACGCGGCACACGGGCAGGCCTCCACGCCCCCGGCCCCAGATGCGCTACTCACTCGCCGTCTTTTCCGAGGCCACGATCTTCCACTCGTGCTTGGGGCTTTGCAGAGGGGCGGTGGGGGAGGGGAGGCGCCCGGTGGAGCCGCTGCTGCCGCTCGTCTGCTTCTGGCTGTTCTCTCGGGCCGGCTTCCTCTGCAAAACCGAAAGGCAGCTCCAGCGCCCGGCCTCGCCGCTCCGAGGGCACCTGTGCTCCTGGCCGACGGTGGGCCCAGGCAGCGCCCGCCGTGCAGGCCACCGACACGCCCCGGCCAGCGCCAACCACTGGGCACCGAGTCACCGCCGCCAGCGACCCGGGCTGGGGGCGCGAGCCACAGCTACCCTCCAGGCCACCGATGCCACAAAACTCGGGGCCCCGAGGTCTCTGGACACCCAAGACCAGAGGATCCAGGGGTGCGGATTCGCCCAGCGCAGGGGAAGCCTGAGGGGAGCCACGTGCCAGCCAAGCGCCCTCCCCGCCGGAGTATCACTCTGGTCCCGCTGGAAGCGTGATCGAGGTAAAATGTGGCAACTCTATGGAAAACGCCTTAAAGTCACTCAAGAAAGAAAAGCATCTCCAAGCCCGGGCCTACGGGACAGCCACCAGGAAGAGCCCAACCCCCCAGGGGGATGGGGGCA